GTATATAAACTGATTTTGTTTATCTGTTTGTATTAGATCATGCGATCCCTTAGGAATTTCCCATCAGTAGCACTAAATTCAGCGGAGAAACAACCTTTGAGGTCAGTTTTTATGCAAAAAAGTGTATATTCTTGTGTGTGAAGTGGAGATGAATTGTCCTGCCATTTTGCCTCGGACTCTAGCCATTTTTATACTATGTTTACTAGTGATTTTAAAATTTTCTAGAGATTTTGGGGAGACTATGAAGAAGTAAGATCGATGATCGGTCTTGTCGTGCTCAATAGTTAACAAGATCGCGAAGCGTCTTATATTTTTCTTCTTTATATCCAGGAACGGGTGAAGGATGTTTAGCTGGAATTTGACGACGGACTTAAAAATCCACTTACACACTTTACTCGCTTTTTTTTTTTTTGTCTTAAAGTGCCTGCATTCTTGTCTTACCGTGGCTACTAGCACAGAGTTAGTATCTTGCAATGAATTACTGCTATAATTTAAATTTTTTTTTCTTTTTTTTTAACATAACTAACTCAATTTCAAATAGTAGGGTACCAGAACCAAAAATGGGAAAACTCTTTTAACTCTGATAGAATTTAGTTAGGGAAAAATTAAATGAAAACATAATAAGCCACCACTTCTCCCACAGCGCATGTCGAAATTTAGAGTTTCATGCAGTCGAAAATCGATTTTCAGTTGAGAACTTTGATGCCTTTTTTTTTCTCCACTTCAATTGTTGTATGTTTATGAAGGTTTTGTGCAGTCTAATCTTAACATATTTCCTTTGCTTCCAATTGAGCAATTATTCCTACAACAATAACTACACAGGATCATGTTACATGTACCGAATTTTTTTACTAAATTTTTTACCTACTACTCGCAATGGAAATGAGGACCACATTGTAGAAATTTTTAAATACATGCGGGCCTTGCGCATTATGTGAGAGGGGGTAATCCATTATGTACAAATGGATTAACCCAACTACAAATAACAGTTGCATAAAAAGTATCTTTCCTCTGTAAATTGAATTAATAACCCTACATTGAAGCCCCCGGGGCATAGCTCAGTGGTGCAAAGGACATGAGTGAAGTAGTCTCAGTTGAGCTGGCAGCCACAGTGTGAGGGTTTAATTCCTACCTCTTACAAGGTATGAAATTGAACTCTTTGTAGGCACCAGTATGACAGCTCTTGTACCCGGCCTGTTGAGACACATCCTGCGATTTAACTCCTCCACAGTGCTATAGATGCGGGGCGGTGAGGGCCCTCAAGATTGGGGTTCAACCTTTTTTTTAATAACCCTACATTGAAATCGGACAACTGCCTATAATATCATGTGAGGCCCAATGTCATAAAGTTCCAACAAAAATCCTATGGAAAGAATTGACACAAATATCGCTAAAGGGGGCGACGAGGAAGAAACGTAAACAATCAATAATTAATACATGATTACAAATATGAATTCGTGCACGAATAAACGAATGAGTTCGTAATTGAAGAACAATCTCCAATATTTAAATACTTATATGAAGAATATGTTTTTTTCAGAAATATTCATAAGTCGAGAGGAATTTTGTTTTTGAGGAAGACCTTTTAATTTTCTAAACATGACCTCTAGACATGTCGATTGAAATTTGAAAGCAACAATAGTATCCAAGTCTAGACATGTTCTCGTAACAAGAAACTATTGTTTTTGTAACTAGTTATTGTTCAAGTTGACTGGGTCAGATAAAGGGTCCATTACATCTCTCAAGTCGACAATTTGCCTACTGCCACAACATGGTTTTGAAGTCACTAACTTATTCTTTTGTGTACATGTTTTGCTTCAATGAGAACAAATTAATTTGACTTGTTAAGAATTATTTCAAAGAGTTTTTGCTAACAAAACTCTTGATACTTGATGATCAACTCGAAACATAGTCCTTGTTTGATCTCCATTTAAATCAATAAAATACATTTTTCTCTCTCTTATTTTCAACTATACATTCTTCAATAAAATAATATTATACACAAATTCAAAAATTTTCTTTATTTTTTTACCATACATTCTACATCAATCCATTATTCCAAAACGCATTATCTTCTTTATATCTTCTATATATATAAAGTAGCTATCTAACAGAATTTGTTGGTTTAACGGAAAAACTAACGGAACTTGTTATTTTTAACGGAATTTTTTTTTCCTCCATTAGTTTAATTATTTCCGTTAAATAAGTCAAAAACCGTTCTTTAACCGGTTTCTTTCCATCTTTCAGCCCGTTAATTGACAAGCCCAGGAAGAATATGAAACGTTTGTTGGCCCATTTCTTTATAGGGAAAATTTCTTGTGCATCATTTATAGAATTTCGATGTGGGAAAAACTCGTTGGCTGTGTTACTGTGCAAGGAAGGGAAGACCGGTGAAAGCTATTGTTGGTGGTGGTGAAAGCGGCTGTTGGAGGAGTAGGCGGTTCAAGAGAGCGCTGAAAAAGCTCAAAGCTTTCGGCTTTGGACACAAGGTCAGCGAAACAGGGCAGGGGAGTTTGAGCCATTTAGGCAGTGGAAAAACTTGTAAAATCGGACCCAAGCCCTCGAAGGAACCAATGGGATTTGTCGATATCGTCCACAGGCCGTCCGATGGCATGAAGTTGATCACAGAGGGCCTTGAAGGCTCAGGCATACTCAAAGACCGTTCGGGTGCCGCGTTTCATCAATTGGAGATCGTCTTTGAGATGAATTTCTCGAGCTTTGGATCGATGGCTGAAGGTATTCTCGAGGGCAAGCCACACTTCTCTTGAGGTGGACAGACCCACGACCTCAGCCATGCCGTTTCATTACATGCCTTTTGTGATGCAGACTGGGCTGGTAATCCAGATGACAGAACATCTTCCAGTGGCTATGGGATTTACCTTGGTCAATGTTTAGTTTCTTGGTCCTCTAAGAAACAACCCGTGGTTTCTCGATCGAGCACTGAGGCAGAATACAGGAGCTTGGCATTAATAACTGCAGAGGTTTACTGGATCCGCCGGGAGCTGGTCGTCATCCGCCGACTGCTGGGAACTGGGAAGAAATGAAGACACGGTTGCGCCTGAAATGAGAGGAAGAAATGAAGAAGACAAGGCTACTGGGCCTGATTTTTTTACTTTTTTTTTTCCTTTCTTATGTTTGGGCCTTTTCAATGAATGGGCCCAATCCATGGTTATTGGTCCACCGGTTTAGTCTTGAAAACGGTAGGGAAAAGGACATAGTTGTCGCAGACATGGATGGAACCTTGCTTATAGGGAGAAGCTCATTTCCTTAGGCCCCGTTTGGGAGGGATTAAGGAGGATTATTGCTCGTTGCCTTTGGCCACCTTATTCCATAGCCGGAGATCCAAGTCAGCACCGAAAAAAGATCTCTTGATTCCTCGTAGCAGAATCGGCTTGGAAGCAAGCTACCTCTTGCATATCTCACCTCCTTTCTTCTTATTAGTAATGTAGGTTGCCCCTTTTAGGATCTTAGCGATCGTACAAAGAAGTTGATTGTGACGAAGAAGTGTTCTCATTGCAAGCCATGAAACAATTGCTCAATCAAATTGAAATTGGTTGAGTTTATTAAGAAGAATATATTTGAAGATATTGATAATTATGTAATCATACTTCATTTTGATAGTATGAAAGCGAGCTGAAAATGCTTGTGTAAGGCCCCAAATTAGCAATACTAAAGGATCGAAGTTCACAAACCACAAAATAGTATGCTGAATTATAAAAGAACACTCAACACTTGATTTTTCGCACCGTAGGGTCCGGACCTAATCACCCGTTGAGTATCACAAAAGATATAACTCTAGATCCACTAAGAATCAAACAATAATCAGTACAAATGTTCGAAGAAACCAAATGTTTCTTCAGTTTAATCCCGCCTCAAAATACAGAACCATAATCACAGAAAATCAACCCTAATCTATTCACCATATACAGACTTCACAAAGGATAGGATTGAAGAAATTACTAAGATCGATTACGATTACAAGAAACCATAAAACCATAAACTTCACTCAGAGAGAATAGAAGGCTCTCGAATGTCAATCACCCAAAGAGCCAAGTCAACCAAGTAATATAAACAGTTAGCATCCAAGGGCAAAGTATCAGCCACGTGTACGGCTGATAACATTATTCAATTGAAACCACAACTCGTTTCACTTTATGATCCAAACAACAAACAAGGCCCAACCCAAAGTATAGTGAGACAGCCCAATACAATTAACAACTTGCAATAATTTATCTAAATATTTGCATTATTGTTCCGTTGTTTCAAAACATTTTGCTACGTAAAATACGATCCACAAGGGGAAAAAATTGAATTTACCACTAATCGAGATGACATAAAATCAATGTTCTACAATGCCCGTCCAGACGAGAGATATGTAGAAAACGCTTCGCTTTGCGCATAGACATGAAAAAGACGATCAATTTTACGTTGACTACCTAAGACGCACCTAGGTAGAGTAGACGCGCGTGCCTTTTGTTTGGCAACGTGTTTTTTTTTAGGTCCATTCCAACAAAATGATCAACAATTGCTAAAATTTAAATAGGAAATAAGTCCAGTAAAAGATTCACCACAACAAGAACATTGCTTCACGAATAAAGTGTCATTGATTTGGGATATCTGTACTTTTGAGAATTATATTTTTATGTTGAAAGTTTAAAAAAATATGTATGAAGTCCGATAAATTTTTCAGGAATACTTTATTTTATTTGTTTATTGATCTGAAATAATACTAAAAATTAAAGAAAATATTACATCTAAGCTGGTGAATATGAAGACTTGACCTCACACGTATTACAAGTGAAAGATTTATTTTATAGAAAAATATTTAAATCAAGGCTATTTTTCATCTTAACAATTAAAGGACCTTGTCAATAGTTTTCCTCTTCAGCCATGCCCAAAACCCTAATTTCGACTTTTCCCTGCTAAAACCCCCCCAGCTCCATTCACCCTTCTCGCGTTTCAAATTTCTCGCATAAAAGCACAGAAAAAAAGGGGAAAAAATGGTGAGTGAAAGGCAGCGAGCGGCCAGAAAACGGTACAAAGAAACACACCCGGAATTGTTCCCGAAGACAGAGCCTACGCCACCAAAGGACCCAAACAAGAAGAACAAAAAGAGCAAATTCAAGCGTAAAAAATCTGACAAAAATGACCCAAACAAACCAAAGAAATTATCACACAAAAAACACCCATTTAGAGTCCCGGGTATGAAGCCTGGTGAGAGCTGTTATATATGCAAGGCACCTGACCATATTGCCAAGGAGTGCCCAACAAAGTCCGAGTGGGAAAAGAACAAGGTTTGGTTTTTATTGATATTCAATTTCAGTTTTTATTCACTGAGACTTGTTGAATTAAAGAGGAGTGATATTTTCAGTTCTTTTCTTATTTCTTTAGCCCCTGTTTGTCATCCATTATTTCAAAACATTGTTTGCTACAGTAAGATTCTCCACCACACATTTATCCAATAAAATATTCTACACATAAACCAATAAAGTAACTTTAAATTTCGACCACACCTTCTCCAAAAAATACTATTCAACATTATTTCAAAACATTGTTTGCTACAGTAAGATTCTCCACCACACATTTATCCAATAAAATATTCTACACATAAACCAATAAAGTAACTTTAAATTTCAACCACACATTCTCCAAAAAATACTATTCATTACACCATTTTAACAACAAAAATGGATGACAAACAGGCTCTAATATATTGGATACGGTTTTGTATTGTCCAATTTATGTGAATCAGGAAAAGAGCAAGATTTGATTTTTGATAATAATTTTCCAATTTTCACAAAGGTTTTAGACATTAGCAAATATTTGTATCGTCTTGTGCCTCTGTGGATTTAATATTTTCTTCTACATTGAATTAAAGGAAGGAGTCTTTACGGAACCTGATATTTACTGTAGAGTAGAGGCTTGCTAAATACTAGCTATTAACTATAGTTGTTTTGGGTGTGATATGGTGTTTGTAGATATGTTTATTTTGTCGACAGCGTGGCCATAGTCTCAAGAACTGCCGAAATAAGAATGAAGAATCCTTGGATAAGAAATTGTGTTATAATTGTGGAGAAACTGGTCATTCTCTGGATAAATGCCCACAACCTCGTCAAGATGGTAAATATCCTCTCTACATTTTCCTGTTAACCCTTTTTCTTTTGTAACTAGAATGTTCTGGAGAAGATAGGAAATTGTCACTTCATGGTCAATTTTCATTTTGTATGATGAAGTGATATTGACAATTTGAGACAAATGTGGTAATAGTTCTATACATGTAGAGTTACTATTTCTTTTATGAAGATTAGATTTAGCGCATATTAATTTATGAATGGATAGAAATAAGTGATGGATAAGTCTAAGTACTACTTGTGCATCCTATGAAATGTTTGGATAAAAAGTGGTTTGACGGATTATGAGCCGTTCATAGACATGGGCTTAGATTATGGGATCTACAGGCTTGAAATATTTTGGCTGCCATTTTAGTTGCTTGTATGGCATCTTAAAGGTTTTTTCAGAACCAATGTAGATAACTGAGGAGCAGTCAATTGGTTTATGTGGAATATTGACTTATATACTAAAATTCCGTCAGCTGATCATTACTTGGAATATTCGTGAATTCCGTGGAAAGATTTAGTCTTTTTGGACCATGAGACCAAGCGATAAGGAATACTTCCATGGAATGCCAGTGTGGACAAGTTATAAAAATTTCTCACTCAAAGTCTACAATTCATTTTGACGACGTATTTCATGGGATCCACAACTTTTCAACTGCACATTTATCAACTCTAATTAAAATCTATTGATTTTAATCTACGCCAAACAGGATCTTGATATTTTCCTTGAAATTTAAATGTTTTCCTTGACGAAAAAGGATTTGTGTAAATGACCACTCATTTGTTGGTTATAAAGCTAAGTTTGTTGTTGTAGTTAGTGTAGCCCTTACATGAGAAGTTCCTCAAAAGTTTTTTTCCAAGAGATTCCACAATTCAAGATCGCCATCTTAAACAAAATACTAAAAAAACCCTTGTCTTAAATAATTGGTGTTGAGTTGAGCTATAGAGCTTTCTGCACTTGTCCTTGGTTTTACATTCACATTCATGGCCAACATAAATATATTCTGAAGTACAATATATTGCAACTGAGGTTCTCATGAATGTAGACTCAGTTTGGCCGTACACCTAAATGAAGTAACTAAGTTGTAGGAATAAAGCTGTGATGGAGATCTATATGGATATTCATGGAAGACTTGAAATAGACTAGCCATTCTATTCGAAAGAATAAGAAACAGATTAGAATTTATTTCATTGTTTTTCTTTATTTTTATTCCATGTCTCTACTTTGTAATTAACTGATTTCCTTTCTGTGAGTTTGTGTTCCCTTGTTTACTAGAGATTTTAAGTATAACTTTGAGCAGGGTTTTATTTTATCGTTATAGGCAGAGCTTATTGTAAAATGTGGACTCCGTAAAAATGTTTTGCACATCCTTCAACAGAGTTGTTAAAGACCTTCGTTATGATAGTTTGGTATTGTCTGTTTTTATAATGCAGGAGGAACGAAATTCGCCAAATGCTTTATTTGTAATGAAACTGGGCATTTGAGTAAAAATTGTCCCAAGAATACTCATGGAATCTATCCAAAGGTATGTACATGCTTATGCTTTTGAGTTTTTTGTGCACAATGATTAAAACTACCTTATCTCATTGGTCTTGCTAACAAAAAGAATATCTTCTTCTATTATATGTTGAGGATATCTTTGGCAGTACTGATAAGAATTTTACCTAATTTTATTCTTTAACTATCAAGTAGTGCCCAATTCACCTTACCAAACATGCTATGGAAGTGTAGAAACCAATTAATACGCTATTTTTATTTCACTACATACTTTTTTCCCTTGCCCCGCCATTTTACTTATATATGTTTTGTTTAGTCATTGTTAGATTTATGTGTATTTGCAATATGGACCTCATAAAACCTCAATCTGTATTCTGGCTAAGGTGATAAAAACCTATATGTGTATACATAGAACGTCGTCCATTCATTAATGCAAATACAAAAGGAAGAATAAACAGATAATTGAGCTTGATATGATGGCTTCCCAAGTATACAAGCCGTGCCCTTGGGGCCTCAGCTCTTCTACAACTGCAGGTATAAACCTTGTTCTGTAGTCACATGGAAACTTTTCCCTGTAGGGTGGCTGCTGCAACATTTGTGGTGGGATAACACATCTCGCCAAAGATTGTCCTAATAAACACAGCAAAGTTTCTTATGCAGCTGGTAGAGTTGATCGCTCATGTAAGTTTCCAATGTATTTCTGCACAAAGTAGTTTCGGCATGTTACAAATTGCTGAATTGTATTCTTTCTATTATAATTTCCTAGTTAGTCACTAATCATTCAAATTTCGGGATGCTTAACAGTTGAAATTGAAGAAAGGCCTAATCGGATCACCAAGTTCGTTAGCGGGGATGATCTTGAAGACGACTTTATGACAGTGACCACATCTGGTGATGACAAAGATAAAAGTTTAAAATCCAAGAATAAACAGGGGGACAAAGTCGTTAATTTTGTTGGTTGATATTTTTGACATATTTGGATTACACAGTTTTGGAGTTGTTTGTAATTTGTTGCAAACCTTGTCAAATTTGTCAATTTATTTCTTATGGTTTATTTTCACGATAAATTTTCTACCTCTATCAGACATTGATTCTCTCTTATTGAAATTTCTTATTTTGCATGTAGTGCACACCTATTATTGTAATTCTTTTCTAATTATTCAACATGTAATATAAGAGATGTCGAATGCGATGAGATGTCTAAGCCTCCAAAACCCTAGCCACATGCTAGGCCTGTGTCTAGCTATGTCAACGAGCCGAGCAGAGCCCGAGTAAAAAAAAAAGTTCGGGCTCGGCTCGAGCTTTTTTAGGCCGAGCTTTTTTGGGCTCGAGCCAAACAAAGCTTGGCAAAAAACAATGAGGCTCGGCCCGAGACTTAGCGGAGCGGGCCGAGCCAAGCTGTGAAGGGGTTTTTTTTTTTTTTTATAAAATGTCAAATTTAAATTTTGACTTAAAATTTTTAAAATTTATACGGTTTATACGTACTATAAATTAAATAAAAAAGGTCGGGCTCGGCTCGAGCTTTTTTGGCCCCGAGCCGCCTGAGTCGACAAGTTTTTTTGCCATCCCTACCTGTGTTTAGATCACCTTGTCCGTGGAAAAAATGGATGTTCGTAAACCCCAGATTCACCTAGATAATTTTACTTTAGGTGTACATGCCAACACATAATTTTATTCGCTATGCCTAAAAAGAGGGGTAATGTCATACCCTATAACCGAGCCATCTCTTGTTTGGTTGACACCTCTATGTAGCATCGATGATAATGTTAGTCAAGAAAAATGTTGGTTATGGAAATAGAAGAGAGACTAAATTCCTAGCCCCTCATTTTCTCCCCCAAAATTCTCTTCTCCTCCTCATTTCTCTCCTTTCAACACACCCAATACTGAACATTTCATGAGATCTCTCTCTTTCTTCATTTTTTCCCCTTCTCATCATCATTTTGCAGCCCTTTCCAGAATTTTCAATTAGCAAGACACTATGGTAATCCTCTCTCTCTCTGCATGTTTTTCAAAATTAATACTTGCATGCAATTTTCTGTAAAAATTTATGTTCAATTCGTTTTCGATTTAAATCTCTGAATTCAGAATGTTTGATGCCTCTTGATCTTGACTGATATATACGCTTAATACCAAATCCATACGTTTTTATAGAAAAATCTCTATGAATTATATGTAATTCCAATAATTCCTTTGTTATTTACTTGCTAAAAAATGGCATGAACGGAAGTTAAATTTCAAAATACTAACCAATGTATAAAGGTTTGAGCTAATTCTCTTAATAAAGTTACTTTATAATGCTCAAAAGATGAAATTCAAGTCTATGGTATCATAGTACATAATGCTCGAGTCATTAGTTCCATCTAGAAGCTTGAATGGCAATAGGGTTTCATGTTTTGTGTCAAATGAGTTAGCATCTTGCAGAAAAATGTTAGGATAAATCCACATATGCTAAATATGAAATTATTTGCTTATATATAAGGACTTGGGACTACCTTCTAAGATGGAATCCGGGTCTCAATAGAGGAGGTCCCTTTCCAAGCCATAGAGAAGGAGGATTATCATCTTCTCCATTCAATACAGAGTTATGAAGTTACATTTTTCATTGATATTACATCTATATTCTTCTTTGTTCTTGTGTAATTTTTTTGGCAGGCGAACGCTGCTTCTGGAATGGCTGTGCACGACGATTGTAAACTGAAGTTTTTGGAGTTAAAAGCAAAAAGAAACTTTCGTTTCATTGTGTTCAAGATTGAGGCTCAACAGGTGGTGGTAGAGAAGCTTGGTAGCCCCGGGGAAAGTTACGATGATTTCACTGCCTCCCTGCCTCCTAGTGAATGCCGCTATGCTGTCTTTGATTTTGATTTCACCACTTATGAAAATGTCCAGAAAAGCAAGATTTACTTCATCGCCTGGTAAAAATGTTCTTAGTTGTGAAAGCTGAACTCATGCATATTCAATTTCTCTATATAGTACGAGCAAATAGAGATAGATACATACTAACGACAATATGACATGCTCGGTACATAATATTAAAGAAAAACAAGATTTTCTTTATGGCCTGGTAAAACTTTTTTTTTTTGTTAAATAACTAAACTCATGCATATTTAATTTCTTTATATACTCTGTGTGACAATAGAGATATAGATTAACAACAATGTTTGGTGCGTAGTATTGAACATGATTAGACTATATCATTGACATTTTGGCATCAGTGTTGTCTACTTATATATGGATAACGAAGATAGAGTATATGCCATTGTCTTCTATCCAAATTTACGTATCAAACATGCCACAAGTGCATATACAGATGTAAAATGTGCTGAATCACCCTGACCCAATATGCGAAAAAGCACTGCCCGGATGGTGATATGCCATCTCGTGGGCTGGCACGCCATAGCCGGTTTATGTCGGGCTCCAATGTAGAGGCCTGCAGCACTACTTCATATCAACTGTTTCTTATTGTTTAATCTCATTATTCTGCAGACAAAACTGGCAAAATCTCAACTTAGCTGATTAATTAACATATTTTGTTGGGATTTTAGGTCACCAGATTCATCAAAGGTGAGGATGAAGATGGTGTATGCGAGCACAAAGGACAGATTTAAGAGGGAATTGGACGGAATTCAAGTTGAATTGCAAGCAACTGATCCAAGTGAAATGAGCCTCGACATTGTAAAAGCTCGCGCAATCTGAATACTTTCTTCCCTACTTCACTTCCCCACCCCACAAAAAAGTTAGTATTTCGAGGATTATATTGTTTCATTGTTTAGTTGCTTTTATTTACAATGAACTGTTTAGCATAATGTAATACGACACAAGATTCTGTAATTTTCAATATTTTTGTTGCTTTTTATTTAATGAAAGAGAATGCAACGCATTCATCTATAGATAATGATCACATACATTAATGCAAGAAGTTAAGAACACAAGGTAATATCTGTGGGTAGTGTAATACGGACAAAAACATAAAAGGTTTAAGGTTTCTAAAGATGCTTATTTTGACAAGTATTTTTTCTCCCATGGGCAGAGGCATGGTGCACGGGCTTGAATTAGAGGGACCTTCAGCCAACCAGAGAATCGATCATGAATTTCTTCTCGACTCCTTGGGCACGACAAGTGTGTTAAGGGATAAAATCTCATATCGAATAAAGATGTAAATATAAACCAACTTATAAAGGATTGTGTTATTTCTCTTAATAAGGTTGACCTTTTAAGATGAAACCACAATTCTTAACAAAGTGTTGGGTTTTTTGATACATAATAAATATCGGGCAATGATATTAAACCGATATTGGATAAATCGAAATATTCACACCTCAATGTAATAACTCGAATCTAGAACTATTTGTGCTATTAGAGGTAGCATAATTTAGTTAAGGGAAAAAAATTCATGGATCAGATTTTAAGTTTCATCAATGCAAAAATCAGGTTTCAAGTTTAAAAGTTGCAAAAATCAGGTTTTTTAAAATTTTTAACATAAGGTCACAAATTATATGCATTTTGGTCACATATATCTTATTAATTATTTAAAAAATAATTTTCGACCACAACGTATGAAATTAATTGATCACAAATTATTTCGAAGTCACAATTTATAGGTCACAATTGACTTCATTGGTCACTAATCAAAAAATTTATAAGTCGCAAGTTTTTAATTGGTCACAAGTTAAATTTTTTTTTATAGATAACAGAGATCACATTTTCAAAATTGTTGGTCACAGATTATCGAATTTTGAGGTCACAGTTTAATAGTTAGCCACAAAGAACTGTATAGTTGGTCACATACACACAAACACCCGTCCCCCAATCCCAATCCACCACCAATATTTGGTCACAAATCGACCAATTTGTTGGTCAAAGACACTCTTCGTCGTATCCATGTCGTCGCCTCCACTACAACCATCCACCAACAATAACTCAAACAACAACCACCACAGATCAGGCCAAACCACCAACAACAGCCACTCATACAGATCTGCCCGACACCCACAAATCAGTCGCCTTTCTGATTTCCTCAACTCCGATCCGCCATACATACATTAGCCAGACACACGTATTAGCCACCAACAACTGCCACTCACACAGATCCGCCCCCAACACCCAGAGATCTGCCGCCTCTCCGATTCCCTCAACTCCGATATGACACACACCCACAGCAGCTACCACATAGTCACGACTCCGACCTACACATCCACATCAGCGTCGAGACGTTGCTGTGAACGACAACATCGTTAAGGCGCTGCTGTAATTTATAGCAGCGTCGAGGCTCGACGCTGCTGTGAAGGGAGGGGGAGGGATGAAAAGTTGTGGTGGAGAGACTGATGGCGGCGGTGGAGGCGACGGGCGGTGGAGAGACATGGTGAGAGAGTTGAGATAAATGGATTAGTTTAGGGTTTGGATAGATTTAGGGTTTGATATGTAAAATAAAATACCTGATTTTTGAATAAATAAACTTTAGACCTGATTTTTAAAAACCAATCTTTAAACACCTGATTTTATGTAATTACCACTTTAGTTAGATCTGCTCATGGCCAATTTTCTCACTTCTTTGATGTCTTATGGGTGTTGGCCTATGTGTTGATTTGGACTTGGCCCTTTTTCCTATATACCTAATGTAACCTATATATATATGCTGCCCATTCCTGTGATATTTACATGTGTTATTTTTTCTTCCCTTAAAGAGAGAACCGACTGTTCTTCGCTGTCTCTTCTCATTCGGTTCTTCTCCTTCCTTTGCCTTTGTGGCTGCTTTGAGTGGGTGCTTTTGTGGCTGTAATAACACCGTCATTTGTGCCATTTGTAGGTGAAACCATAGCAACCGAAGTGTGGGAAAAAAGTTGTGGTTCTTTGGTTGTTAATTGAGGTGGTTGATTTCAATTAGATAGAGAAATTGACCTCGAATTTCACGAATCAAAGGTCCATTATTCTACAACAAGCCACCGACTTTGAACGGAGTTCCCCTGCTCTTCGAGACATGCTAACTTTTTATTTTAAGAACTTGGAGTACTCGATCAAGAGATGGAACATATGATTATATGCATAATCTATTACAACTTACAACCCATTTTAAGTTTCTTCCACATTAAATAACAAAAAACTAAATATTAAAAGAAGATTAAATAAAGAAAATAAAATAATGATGTTTTAATTAAACATAGAAAAACAACGCCAACCCTCCTTGCCCCAAACCCGTCTCGTACCACATTTCCATGGCAAGCACAATCATCAAAATGAATAAATAAACATAAAGCACGCTTGACCCATTTTAAAATTTTAATTATTATCAAAGCAAATCTTATTCTTCAAATTTCAAACGACATAATGTTTGAATTGAAATCAAAATGTCCTAGGAAATTAACGGTTGTGATGATTATGCTCCGAAACAAGCCCTTAGAAATTATGAGAAATTCCCTACTTTCCACGTATTGAAGGGACAGATGAGAGTTTTACATGAAAACAGAAAAAATAATTCAGAATTAAATGTTGAAAATATGATTTGGTTTTTCTGCCAGCCTTTTCTTGAAAATTTGCAGCCTTCTACGAGAATCTTTATCATTATTCTCTCAAGTCCACCATGAAATAGTTCAAAATACAACTCATTGTCACCTTAAGTAGGACGAACCGACCATAGATACTGTTGATAGAATTTTTATTTTTTAAAAAATACGAAAAATATGGGTAAAATCTTGGATGGATTTTAATTGTAAATCAATATTTAGTTTGTCTCACAATTTTGTTGTCAATAATTTTTTTTTATTTAAATATCATATTTGACAACAAATTATCCAAATAGGTTGTTAAATCGAAGATCAAGCATACACTAGGTCAATTCGATCTTTCTAAAAAATTATTAAACATATAAAAATTTGAGTTACTCATCTCTGAGTATTTGGTTGGATTAAAATTAGATTTTTAGTAGAGATTGATAGAAGTTTTTAAAATGTGTGATTGAAAAGTTGTGGGACCCATGAAAAATGTGGTTAATATTGATTATTTGACTTTGACTTGAACTTGGATTAAAATTAGATTTTAATACAAAACAAACATGACCTTAATAAAGTTTAAGCTTTAAGATGCAACCCCAAAATCTAATAGACTTGAGTACGTACTTTTCTTTGTTTTTGACTTTCCCCAATGGTCGAGCGAGTACTCTTTTGCATCCGTCGAGAATAGAAATTCGGGTTCCCGAATAAGGTCATTCTTATTTTATCTTGCAAAATAATTATGTTTTATACTTCGCAGGTCTCACTTGTGACGAATATATATGTTTCCGTATAAATACATTTTTTTTTGGTAATAGTAAAGCTGATACGTGCAGTTTGTGTCTGGTACACTAAAAAGGGTTTTGCTTTTGTGGCCGGGTGCGTGGGGATAAAGTAATCACGCCATCCCACTCCACGCGTGACACCCAGTTTCAAAACCCAATGCCCGCTCTCATTCTAGAGAACCTTCGTATCCTATGTCGTCTTGTTTGGTGAGGTGATAAAATAATATTAAAAATTAAAGTGATTTTAAGTCGCGCATACAGTTGAAGGGCCCGTCATACAGGTTCTTGAAACGTCAAAAATTACTTCTAAAATTAAGAAGTTACTATTTCATATTTTTGAATAATTTTTTGAAATTTTAGAGAAAATTATATAACGTAGCTTTTTTAGAAAACTCTTCCTCAAGAAACAGAAATAAAAGTAGAAACCCGCCAAAACGGGCCAAAGTCTTTTTCAGTCCTAATACCAAACATGTCTCGATATCATCAAGTAGTAGAAGGGTGGGCTCTTTTGCTCTTTTAAGTATAATATAATTAAGGGAGAGAGCTCGTCAGATTTGAACTAGGAGCATAGCACTTCATCAATCATCATTAATATCCCCTCTACTGCTTTGAAGAACCAAGATGTCTGTAAGTTCCTTTTGCTCTATTCCTCTCTCAAATTCTTTGTGTGGGTTTATAGATATACACATGCGTGTATGTATGTAGTTATGTTTGAAAATATGACAATTAAGATGTTTTTCATAGATGGTGGAGGTTAGAGTTCCTAACTTGGATTGCGAGGGATGTGCTTCAAAGCTTAGAAAAGCCCTATACAAGATTTAAAGTTTGGATATTTTTATTCACGTTTGACTTTATTTTATATGGAATTGTCCATTAAAAATGAATTTTTTTTACAATTGATTATGAAATTTGTTAACATTGACAAAAAGTAACAAAAAATAAAAAAATAAAAAAAATTCGAAAACTGTTTTTTAATCAAAATTTTGTGTTCGTTTAACTTCGTTTTACATGGAAATTGTCCATTAAAGTGAATTTTTTTATTTTTTATTTTATAATTGGTTATGAAATTTGTTAACATTGCCAAAAATAAAAATAAAAAAAAAATTATGGAAGAACCTGGAAAAGGTTTTCCCAATTTCAAGGAAAATGGCACGTGGGAGGTGGGAGAGGGAAAACTTTTTCTTGACTAAATTTTACCCATCAAACAACTCTTTTGCATGGAAAAGGAAAATGTATTCCATGGAAAATAGAGGTTATCAAACATAGCCTTAGAGTTCATCTATAGGTAGTAGATTAAATTGAAAAAAGAGTTGTAGCTTACAACTTTGGGTCATTGACAAATGTTCTTATTGACCTCCGAATTCGACGAGATTCATATGTCAACAAATTCAAGCTTCTTTTCTATCCAAATGTAAATTACTTACATATTTGAATATCCACGTTAGACTATACGAATTGTTGCTCTAGCAAAGTGCAATAGTCCCATACATACATTCCAACGTTCAAATCATATAGAGATATATATTGGACGTGGGGGAGACAATGGACAAAAATAGGGGTACCAAGTTTTACACTGATATACCTTCCATACATTTGGATGGCACAAGGTGTGATTTTTATAACCAAGAGAAATGACTGGAGACTCATTAAATGCTTGACAAGAAACCCCATCCTGATGCTCACCGTCAAGCTCAATTGTGTCGATCCACAATCATCTTAGACATGTAGTTTCCATAGCGGGAAGTAAGCTAAAAAAATATATGATCTGACTGGGTGTAGCTGTTGCAAAGTTATCACATCAATCAATCAGTAAGCAGTGTAATGTATACAACTTAATCGAGGTGAGACACATTATATATATATATATAATTTTAATACTAGTCTAAGTAAATTTTAATGCTGAACTTTATAGAGTTGCCATGTGATAATCGTGCGACAAATTAATAGATATTTGACCGTTTTCAGTATTGTTAACCAGTTTTGCGACTATAATAACAAGTTAATGACTAATTGATTATTTTCAAAGGTTGAGAATCAATTTGCTATATGAACATTGAGCGACCAACGAAGTATTTTTTTTCTAATGATAATTTTTCTAACCAAATAAAATAAAATAAAATAAAAAGCAAAATTGACGATTAAATAAAGAATAGAAAAGACAATATATTTTTAATTAAACATAAAAAACGACATAAACCTTACTCGTACCAAATTTTCATGGCAAGCACAATCATCAAAATTAATAAATAAACACAAAGCACGCTTCACCCATTTGCAATCTTTAATTAATATGAAATAAAAAAAATCTTCCTCTCCAAATTTCACAGAGTAGTGCTATTTAGCATTCTTGGTTCTTAACCAACTTAGGAGGTAATTAGATGTCGTTAAATAATAGGTTCATTTAAATGCAAAATCAAAATATTCATTTAATTACACTTATCAAGTGTGGACACCTATTTTGATGCTAGATACTATTATTTAATTTCAAACGATGGCGCGTTTGAATTGAAATCAAAATGTCCAAAGAAATCAAAGGGTTGTGATCAAATGATTATCAAGAATCATCATCACTATTGTGACGATTATGCTACCCAAACAACACCTTTCATATTATGAGAAATTCCCCAATTTCCACATATTGAAGTGACATATGAGAATTATACACAAAAACAGAAAAAAAGAATTCAGAAAAATTAATTAATGTCATTTACCTTTACATCAGTCTTTTCTTAAATTTTTGCAATGCCACTCAAATACCCCAAATCAAGGGTTGAGGTAATGGCACCTCATCCCTCTGTTTTTGGGTCGGTCCCCCACCCTATTTGAGGAGCATGGTTGTCTATAAATTGGATGGACGACCAACCATAGATAATTGTATAAATCTTGAAATATTTTTTAATCGTAATTCGTCATTTTGTTTGTATTACAAGTTTAGTGATTGATGATAAAGTATGTACTAGGACAATCAATTATGTTCTTTGTTTTAACTTTCTTTTAACGTCGAGCGTGTACTCTTTTTTCATCAGTCTCGTCATTCTTGCAACTATTCATGTTTCACAGTTTTCACTTGTGAAGAACATGAATGTGACAGTACAAAAATCTTTATAGTAGTGTAAGATTTTATGCAGTTTGTGTCTGTGTGTAGGGTTTTGCTTTGGGGGGTGGGGCTGGGGATAAAGTAATCACGACACCCCACTCCACGCGTGACCCCCTCTATTCTTTCTCATTTCAAAACCCAATACCCCATTTTCTTGTGCCCATTCTAAATTGAGTAATGTTATACAACACTACTAATATCAACCATCAGTTTAGGTGACCACGTGGTCACCTAAAGTGGTGCTCTAGCATGCTAGATAGATTATTCTTCTAAATTTATGTTATGCTGTCTTGCTCGATATGAATTTTACAGAATAGTATTAAGTTTAAAAGAAAGTTAAATCTTGTATCATGTTAAAATCTTGAAATATTTTTTACTTACAAATAATGTTATTCAATCATGATCATCCGTGTATGGTCATACTATTGAGAATTAAAAATCCTAATTTTATTCCACCAATAACAATAAAATTACAGTAAAGAAATAGACGCACAAGAATACAATTATATAAGTTCGTCTCAATATGAGACTATGTTCTCGTTCGCTGCTACAGTAATTCATTATAATGAAAAAAGATTTTAAAAGAGAAAACTCGTACACCCCATCTTTTCTAGCATTTTTCTTATTTTGATGATATAAAAAACTCTAATGACAACCCCTTATTTATAAAACAAATTAGGGCAAAATCAAAATTATCCCGTGTGAAATTCCTAAATTAGTCTTAATGAAATTTTCATTTAGGGGCTCCGCTCCCCGCATCCCCTAGGAAGGAAAGCCGCCTTCCAACCTTACGACGACTTCATTGTGTAGGTCAATCTGCATATTGACTCTGTAGAGTGACAAATAATTAGGCTCCACAACTTAACACATATACCACAATGTCCATGGAAGAAAAATGCATTGTTCCACTACTGCATAAACTGATAATCATCATCAGTACTCGATGCTTAATATGTATCGATATTATCAAACACTAAAAGGGAGAGCTCTTTTAACTTCTGTTACATACATACATATATATATAAAGGGAGAGAGCTCTTCATTTTGAATTGGAGCACATTACTTCATCATTAATATCCCCTCTACTGCTTTGAAGAATCAGGATGTCTGTAAGTTACTAAGTTTTTTTCCTCTATTACTCTCTCAAATTGCGTGTGTATGTATTTAGTTGTGTGTGTGTGTGTGTGATTTTGCAGATGGTGGAGGTGAGAGTTCCTAACTTGGATTGCGAAGGATGTGCTTCAAAGCTTAGAAAAGCCCTATACAAGTTCAATGGTAATTCTTGAATAATAGTGCCCATTTCTATTCAGTACAGCGTACCAAATATGCCGTGTATGTGTTTTATTTGAATAATATTAATCTCAGGTGTAGACGAGGTCGAGGTAGACATGGAAACACAGAAAATTACAGTGAGAGGCTATGCATTGGAAGAGACGAAAGTGCTAAAGGCAATAAAACGCACAGGCAAAGCAGCAGAGCCATGGCCATATCCAGGATACTCTAATTATTTTTCATCATTTTATAAGTATCCAACTCACATTGTAAACCATTATTATGATACATCAAGAAATGTGGCTGCACCCAGTGTACATACTTTCTTCCACACTCCAGCGGTTTACTCGGTGGCTGTCGCCTCCGACGAGGCGGTGGCTTCACTTTTCAGTGATGATAATCCTCATGCATGTACTATTATGTGAGAATGCCTTTCATTTTTGTTTTCTTGATGAAGATTTTGAATTATGTTGTAATCCACTTGATATTTGTGTTATGGCTTATTAATTTGTTTGAGCTTGGCATTTTTGTTTTGGACCGGACCCTCTTGAGGAATTTTATGTTAGTTCTAGGTTTACTTTTATTTTTTGTTAGAAAGGTCTTGTGGATGATAAAATGTATTAAATATATTTATTATAGACGACTCTCTTCTTTTTCAAACTAATGAAAATTAACGTTGATTTAGTCAAATCAACTCAATTTTTGTGGTTAATCAATACAAGACAAGCATATCATGTAGTGTAACGAGAAATCGGGTTAGGGTTATGTAAGCGGATGGAAGAGGTGGTGTGGATGAGGAAGAAGATGAAATTGGAAAGACGGTGCATTGGAAAAGAAGATGTGATTAAAAATATCAAAAATGCTACTCAAACAGGGCCAAAAACAGGGGGCTGAGTGGATCCTCAGCCCCTTTTTTGGCCCTATTTCAGTAGCAGGGTTCTAAAAATATTAGACATTGTAACATTGGATCTTTTTCTTATCCAACTTGGTGTAGTTATAACACTCCAAACGTGTAAAAATTAATTTCAAAATGCAGAGAAGCGTATTTGGGAATATAAGAATTTGCCAATTATTTATTAAATGATCATATTTTAAGAAAGAAAACAATTAATAACCTAATTTCTTTTCTTTCTTTTTTCGTATTGCTTTCAAAATAAAGTAATTTGTATAATCTTTGTTGACAATTCGTATGTTGTCAAGATCGTTGATTTAAAAACACCTTTTAAAATAAATGATTTAAATTTCTGTCGACTCATTTGTACATGCAGCATGATAGCTTTAATTATGAAAGTTTGGTCTTTACATGACAACTTCTAAATGCAAGGAATCTTGAAATGGGAAATGACATCATAAACAGCCTTCAAAAGAATGGACACAAAAAGCCCAACTTGCTTTTGCTGTTCAATTTTAGCCGTTGAATTATGTACAAAATAAATTAATTTTTAATATATGGTTCAAATAACAATTTAGTATTCAACCTTTAACGAGAAGCAAGTATCAAAATTAATTGTACGCAATATTAAATTATCCTATGTGAGTCTCAATAACAGTTATATTTTTCATTATCATTCTACAATAATTTGACTCAAACAAGCATATATACATCAATCTGATATAAATAACACTGAAAAATACAAAAGGGTCCCATTTTCTCTCACTTTTAGAAAGCAAAAATTGCATTAGTATTCCAATTTTCCACAATCAGACCCCAAGATAGAAGAAAGTTACACCCCTTCAAAAGTCTCTCCACCTGTGCTTGAAGTTTTCATTCTGTGCAACTCCTAATCATCTATGGCTCAGGTATGGTATAATCTCCGTGTAAATTCACCTCGCCCCACCCCCTCTAAAGATAGCAATGGTGTTCGGACCGTGCCGTGAAGTTGCCGGAGTTTGATAAGCCATTTTCGGGTTTTTTTTAAATTTTTGATGGGACAATCACTCGACCAATTGGCGATGCAATTGGCAAGTGAACGTCGAGCCTACACGCACAAAAATAGATGATTTTCTTTAAACTAACATTTAACGCAATGAATAATGATGAGATTATCTTATTTTCCATGGATCTTACCTTTTGAATTGTGATAGCAGAAGTTGGTGTTGAAGGTGTTGACAATGACTGATGAAAAAACAAAGCAGAAAGCAATAGAAGCTGCAGCAGATATATATGGTAATGGTACAGAAAAATGAATTCCATTTTCTTTTCTTTTCTATTAATTTTTACTTACAATAATCTCCAATATTTGTTTGTAAAAACAGGGGTGGATTCAATTGCTGCTAATCTGCAAGAGCAGAAGCTGACAGTAATAGGAGAAATGGATGCAGTTGCAGTGGTGAAGAAATTGAAGAAAGTAGGAAAGGTTGATATTTTGTCAGTTGGACCAGCAAAGGAAGAGAAAAAGGAAGAAAAGAAAGAAGAGGCTGCTAAGAAAGAGGACAAGAAACCACCAGAGGAAAAGAAACCAGAAGAGAAGAAACCAGAGGAAAAGAAATAAACATATTTTCTTTCTTGAAGTTTTACATCAAAACTCTTTTAGACGTTTTCACAAACACACACCCATAAATAATATGATGAATCTTTCTCTCCCCAAATAATATCAAGAAGTTATTATTATTTTTTGTTCTTTGGAAAATTATGTAATTTTTCATATGGGCTTGCTCAATCTTTGATATGCCACTTTGTTATCAAGAAAAGTAATGTAATTGCCCCTTCGGGGTGGCCGAGTTGGTCGAGCTGGTGAACACGGAGACTAAAGGTCACGAGTTCGAATCCTCTGCCAACACTTTCTCGATCGAGCTCGTCGCACCGAACTTGCCTAGTACAGTTTACCTTCCCTGTGTAGTTTGCGGGCTACTACATATGGAGCGGGGTTTACCTAGTGCGCACTTACAGTGGTCGGAGCTTCGCTGACGGGTAGCGGCTGCAGGTTCCTAAATCAAAAAAAAAAGTAATGTAATTTAATGGGACGAAGCAAAATTTCGTGCAAGAACTAATACATGAAATGTTTGCAAAGATTACAACTCAATGCGCTACTATAGACATTTATATTATTTCATAAGATTTGGAACAATAAGATTAATCAAGTGAGTTCTTGAACGAATTTTCAATGTGAATGGAGATTATCGTCATGGATGCGCAAGTGGATTCAGATCCTTGATTACGAAGATCTGAATGCCTATTGGCTTTCCTTTCTTCCATTTTCTTGAGGGTCATTTTCCATTACAAAAAAACTCTCAGAAGGGTCCAAAATACTATTTAAAAAAAAAACGCAACTTTCGGGCTTTTCACGCATCTTGGCTGCTGGATTATGATTTGTAGGCATGATTCATTAGGTCATTCATACGCCACATATTTATCTAATAACAGAGGCCGCGTAACAGTGTATATATTATTATATATTATCTAATAAATATTTGGTCAATTTGTGCATGAACTTGAACTAAAATATGCTGTCACTGATAGCCCAGAAATTTATGACTTGTACCAGTACTCACTTTTCTTATTCAGTTATTTCATGGTGTGAAAACAGATATTGAAGGCCCTTTTTGCTGCAAAAGATTTCTTTAAGCAGCCTGGGTCGTGCCGGCCCAGCATAACCCACCTTAAACCTCTGTATACTGCAAGCAAACAGGTCCCAGTCGCGCCACATTCGAATGTTTATGTATGGCAATTTCTTTATCTTGCCATAAGATTTGACACTAAGGTCGGCAAAGTATCAATTAATAAAATGCATTCCTTCCCTAATAAAGCAAAAGAAAAAAAAAACAGAGAAATAAGACAAGAAGCTTACATACAAGGACAATTCTTTAACTGGACGAACAGATCATTCTTGATAATTTCAATCAGAATAGGAACAATTATGTCAATAATTGATAAAATCTGACGAAAATGTGAAGGGATATTTTCAACCACTAAATTAAGGTTGTCTTGTTGCCCCTTCAAGCCTCTCTAGAAGGGAAAATGGCTCCAAGAGAATATGAGAAGCTTTGATTAAATCTGGTATCAGCACATTGCCAATAAAAAATAACCTCTAACACCAACTCAAAGGATCGAAAGGCAACAGGATTTTGTAAAGATGTATTACAATTACAACAATAGGAGTGATTCAACCAGTAATAAACCAAAGACCTTCTCCCATTGCCGGAATTGAAAAGCGAAAACCTTTTATTAGACTAGTCTTTTTGTGTGGTCTTGACGCGATATCTCCTTCAGCCCGACCATAGTCGTTAAACAGTTCCTAGAACAAATGCAGACAGACTATGAAGACATTATTGTTACCAGACTGAGGCATCTCCTGAATAAGCTAGACAATGACATTCATAAATAACCTACTTACATCATGATTATTAGTCGAACCATGATGTGGATGGGCACATGAAGCAGAAACGGAATACTTGTTAAATCGTCTTCACCACTTCAATTGCTTAGAAAGTTTGAGCAGAGCACTGTGCACAACTTTTTAATTGTGCATGGATTTGATTGTGATTTAACATCAATTACATGAAGAATGAATGAGTACCTTAGTCCTTTATTATTCTTGTCTTCTCTAGCATGTTTGGCTAAGCATTAAATTAGCAAAAGTTACTTTTAAATTAATTTTTTTACTTCTATCCAAACTCTTTATTTACCTTCAAGGAAAAAAAAATACATTTTTCCAAATTAACTCTTTACTTTCAAAATAAATAACTTATTTTCAAGTTTGATCAACAAAAGATATATCTCTATAACTTGCTCGTGTACTTACAAGCGAATTTTTTAAGCTTAGCCAAACATGCTCGTTTAGGAGCGAGAAATAGAGAAAAAAAGAAAGGTCTGGCCTTTTTATAAACCGGCTGATCACTTTGATGATAAGATTCAATCTTGACAAGAGTCAATATCCACGACAGTATTAACTTCTAGAAATGACAAATGATGCACAGGAAAGTCGATGTTCACATAAGAATTTGATCTTGAGACCCGTGTAAGTTTCATATTCATATACATTGGAAAATAGAAGAGAAAATCAATCAATCAGCCAACGAAATGAGCAATCAAAGTCAACATAACCAAATCTACAAGCAAGAAAACTATTGATTTCTCACAAACAACAATAATTCCAAAATGAAAAACAGTATAAGTTTCATATTCAAAGAAGCCACATACAATGAAAAACAAAAGAAAAAATCAGTTAAGGTGAACATCAGGCTTAAGGTCAGTGAATTTGTAATAATTGTAGTTGATGATGACGAGAATACACTCTGCGAGTACCAGGGATCACATTCTTTCTGATACCTTCAAACTGAGGTATGAAATCTCCTAGAAGACCCATGTTTATATGTTAGCATATGCAATGATGTTCTACACAAATGGATAAGAATTACCTTGAAAGGCTCGCAATGATGAGGAAAACTATTCCTGGTGCAGAGAATTTTTCCTCTTCCTCGGGCATATTTTTCTTTTTTTGTATCAGTAATTAAAAATGCTTATTGATATCACAATTTAATAGCATATGTAACTATTCATTTCAACAAATGTCTTTTTTCTCAACCATTCCTTTCTACAAATGCGTTTTTTTATATTTTTTATATAGATTATGAGTTTCAATGGTATGCAGCTGCTTACTATAAAAGTTACAATTTAGCACCGTAACCATTCATTTCGAAATATGTTTTTTTTTTTTTTACCCTTATATATTATGAGTTTCAATGGACATTGTTTGCAGCTGCTTATTATGAAAGTTACAAATTAGCCTCTTTTGGTATACAATTTATAAAATGATTTATAAATTCCGTCAAAGTCAACATTAATTTCAATCGCACATTCATAACTTATACTCATAATATATCCACATATTTCATGGGACCGGTAATAACCTTCTTACTATTCCTATTTATAAACCATTTATAAATTTGCCAAACGGAGGCTTAGTTACGACCAAAAAAGAAGAGTGTGAATTTATCAATAGTTGGAGCTTTGCAACAGTTGCTCCTTTCATCCTTTCCAACACATGAAAAGGATTGAAGAAAAGATGAAGGAAGATGTAGAAAACGTGTTAATCTAAAAGCAGCATCATAGCAGGAGAGAAAATACTATGGAAATGTTCTCGCTCTATGAAATTACAATAAAGATTATTATTTTCACTGGTACTCTTTTCTGCTGTTTCTAACAAGGAAAAGAGAACAAGGTGTGCCACACATTGATGCTAAAAGTACATCAAGAGGATCCTAAAACAGATACCACTGAAAGACAAATGATAATTAAGCAAGCAACTCACAGATGAATGATGCGCTGTTTTCATAGTTTCCTTATATTAAGTCCAATGCAATTGAATAATAAGTTGGAAAGAATAAAAGGCAGAAGAAAAGTCATATATTATTAGGAAAAGATTATCAAAATTGTGATGTTGCTGAAACTTACATGGCGCAGAAACATACGGCCTGTAAAGATCAGCTTATGAATGAACACATTATCAATATCATGTTACATCTGATTTCCCTAATTTATGAACTGTCTTCTTAGCATCTTCTGTATCTTTTGATCTTTGAGAGGAGATGAATAAACTGCCCTTTTTTCCATCATGTCTTACAATTTCGTGAACTTCAGACAGCTTTCCTGCATGTCGTAAATAACTGACTAACGTACTGTACATGAGAAAATTTGGATTACAGCCTTTTGCTTCCATCTCTTTCAACATCAAGCGAGCCTCTTGGCCCTCTTCAAACTTCCCAACCATACATAGCCCTCGGATCATGGAATTATAAGTAAACACATTTGGTAATTGTCCCTTGCTGATCATCTCTGTAAACATCTTGTTAGGATTTTGGGGCTCCAATAACCAATTTCTGGGCTCAGAAAAACTCCAAACGAACACCAATCTCCCAATGCTCGACCCAACAACCCTCTACACATTGGTTGCCTCTTTCTGCCCTCTTCAGTTGCTAGTTGAATTTAAGAGAGAAAATAAAACAATACAAAGAGAATAGAATTGTATTGAATTGTGTAATTTGTTTACAAGAGAGGCATCCTATTTATAGTTTAACTTGATAGAAATGTTTTACTTTCTAATCAATGTGGGACTAACTAAATCCAAGCACAGAGACTTCCAACATGTCAAGTTCAACAAATCAAAAACTACCCATTAAATGGAATACTGAGACACACACATCGGTAGTTATGTGTTGTGAAGATCATTCATTTGACCAAAATTATGAGCTCTATGTTGTTTGTGTAAACTATAGCCCAGATTGAATTTGGTGAGAACAATCGTGAGGATTTTGGAGAACGGAAAAGTAGTTATTGGAGGGGCAAAGGACTCGCCTGTAAGTAGAAATTTTAGGGTATCCTTGTGGGCTTTGTGGTTCTCCTAGCCCATTGGGCTGACCCGGTTTGTGCTACTTTGATTTTAGCCTTTGGATAAATTGGATGGTTAGGATTAAATCTTGGCTAGATATTTTTGGCCTGACTCTTGGTACATCTTCACGTGGGTTTGGCTTCCTGGAGACACTTCTTACTCCTTCATCGATAAAAACTCTCTGCTCTCTTCTCGATTCTTCTTTCCTTCTTCCTCCATTATCTGTACCCTAGAATCGACTTGGTTAACCTTACCTGTGTGGACTTAGGCCTGAAATAGTGGCTAAGTGCTGGTTCGTTCCTGTGGGTTTAGGTCAGATTCTGAGGTTGTTCTTGGCTGCTATTGGTAGACCGATTGGTCGATGATCCAAGCCAAGTGATGGCTGGTTCTTGCACTCTCTATGGATGGTGATTTGCGTGGCATGGTTTGGCCGTTCCTGAGCCTACATCTCAGCCAATAGAGGGAAGAAGAACGGCCAAAAGAAAGAAGGAAGCTGCACGGTTCTGAGGGGAAGTTTCTGTCCTTTTTCAGCCTTATGTTTTTCTGTCCATTTAAGTTCCGATTTCAGTCCATTAGGGTTCATGTTTAATCTGCCGATTTCTGATATATGTTATGTTTTCGGTTGATATGCTTATAATGTTGCTTGGTTTATATGAGTTCCATAATCTGTACATTTCAGTTTCTATGGTTGACATATATTCTGCTAATTAGTCTGTACATTCTGAAAATGCATTGATATATGTTATTGTGTATTGAACTATTGCATTAAGACTTCTTGAGCATTGTGGAAATCTGTATACTGAGGTTATAACATTGGGTATTGAACTTTGTCATCATTGAATGAGCTTAGAACTATATTATGCTAGGTATTGATGTCTGCATAGGCTGTCTATTCCCAACAATCCTTCATGGTCTTCTCAACTGGCCAGTGATTTTAGGTTCTGCTTCAGAGAAGCGTTCCATTCAAACTGGTAAGTAGATGCAAAGAAGCTCTTATGGAGAATAGTGTAATACTGAAATCTTCAATGTGTGAAGAACCACGAAATATGGACCATAAATTAAAAAATTGCAATAGTCATTGACGTTTTTTACATGGTCCTAAATTTGTACGAACAATCTACTTAACCCAAGTTTGATGGCTATTCTTTCGAGAAAGTGAAAGTTACATAGATTTTTTAAATTTTAATTTCAAAAATCGTTTGATATTCATTTATACAAAAATCAGGGATTAATTTCACATTTAATATTAATAGTAATAGTATAAAATTAAATTAATCTATACATTCATTACCCCCACCAAATTTCAATCCCAAACTCTAATAATTTTTCCCCCTCTCCTCTCCTCTCTTTGCCACACACCCTCACGGGAGGCAACACCCAAACCCCAACCATTTTCCCCTCCTCTCTCTCCCCCCCAGCAATGCCATTTGTACCCCCTCCCTTCTTTCTCTTTGCCACATACCACATACCCTCACCGGTGGCAACACCCTCGGCGCTCACGCACTGTAGGCTTTAATTATTAATTATAGTTCGCATATTATCTAACCCGTATATTACTATTCCAAAATCTCAAAAACGATAACTCACTTCTTATTGATGCAAACAAAGAACATTTATATGTACAAAAAGTCAGACGAACAAAGTATAGAACCAAGAAAAACTCTTGACTTCCAAATTACACGCATACAAGCCTTTCAGAATCAGTTGCTCGATTCCTGCAGCTGCTGCTGCCCTGAAACTTCCTTGTGGTTCTCATCGCCTTGAGTTGGAGCCGACCCCCCCGAAACTTCCTGGCCGTGCTCATTGCCTCTAGTTGGAGCCGAACCCAAATCACTCACTGCACCTCACACGCAAACAAAATCAGCACATTAATGGATAGTAGTGGACAATATGTTGTGAATCATTTTTAATGATTTACTTACCATGGGATTGGCCAAGTGAATCCTTAGCAGTTTGCATTCCAGAACTTTTGCCAAGCCAAGACCCTACAGCATCTTTGAATTTATCAACCATGCCTGATCCTTTGCTTTCATTCCCAGCACTCAGTGCATCTTCGCCTTCTCTTTTATTTTCAGTACCAGTACTTAAACTCCTTGCTACTTGCTCCGATTCAGTCACCTTCCCAATTGGCTTCCCCTCCCCTGTCCTCCCAGTTTCACCCTTCTTCTTATGGAGTGCACTCGATATAGCCTCTGACAATGCCTTATCTTCATCACCAGGCCTAAATTTCTCTGCCAAGTAGTCCTTTACAGAAAGGCCCTTATCAGTTCCTTTAGTGGCTGCACCCTCATTCCTTAAGTGGGCTGCTCTATCTCCGCCTTCATCCTGAATACCACCGCCCTGAACTTTTGATATCGCCGTGCTGGAAGCATCCGCCACTTTGTGATAAACTGGTGCCAATTTCTCTGTCACGGTCGTTGTAACACTACGCGCATATTCTGATGCTGTTTCAGATACTGGCTTCGTGGTCTCTGATGCGAGCAGCTTCTGAGAATCACTGCCTTCCTCATGTCCACCGTAACCGAGCTTCGAAGCCACCACATTCTTGGCAGAGATGGCCTTATCAGCAATTGCAGAGGTTGCATATGATAATTTTCCAGTCACACTGTCTCGTGGCTTGTCCTCCGTTTTGATAGGATCTAAACTTTTCAGAGTTGATTCAGGATTCTCTGAACCTGTTTCTGCTCTAATTGTATTCGATTGTGGAGTAGACTGGTCTATAGCTGGTGTTGGCTGAGGAGCAAACTCGTTATGGCTCCCTGTATACAATCTCTGTTCTGATTCTGGTTTTGATTTCGGGTCGTAAACATTCATCTTGTCCAATTGATGAACAAGTGTAGCATCATCTGCTTCCTTACATCCTGTTTTAGGCATCAAACCAGTAAATATTGGCTCCGCGATCACTAGTTTATTCTACTCCTATATTCTGATAACTCAGGACACACACGAAGGATGTAAATTGTAACCGTTTACTTCTAATCACATCAGTCACGAAAGAATTTACTTTTTACTTTTTATTTATAAGCACAAGCAGAAGACAAACAAAGATATCAAAGCTAGAGAAATGCATTACCAGTGCCTGTTTGATCAGCCACTTTGGACTGATAATTTGAAGGTGGAATTGCTCCAGGAATGTTCTTTGGAGAATGAGGATCCTCCTCCAACCCTACTGGCTGTCCAACTTTAACCCTCGTTTGCCCCACATCTGCTTCTTCCCTGCCCATAACAGGGGAATCATCAACCTTACCAAAGGCACTCCCCATGTCGTCCCGCATTCCACCCGGTACAGAAGGCCTAGTTATTGCCTCGTTCTGTATTCCGCCCATGGCAGAAGGCCTATTCATTGCCTCATCCATCTCCATGGCTGTTGTCCTCCCCGTGTTGTCCCGTATTCCACCTGGCACAGAAGGCCTGGTTATTCCCTCATCCCTTACATTTGTATCAAACCGATCCTCGCGCGTGTCAGTCTGTTTTTCCAAATTGACACCGGTTTGCCCTGGAGCGCTCCCTTGTCCAGGATTTGTAATCCTAGTGACTGATGATTCATGCACTACAACACACACATTCAATATTAGCACGTAATCAGACTTATTGATAATCTAAGAAAGAATAACAAGTAAGATCATATCACCAAAAAGTAGAGAACATACTCGGGGCACCATGGACTCCTTCGTCTTCCTCCTCTTCCTCCTCTTCTTCAGAATTATGTTCATGTCCATGTCCGTGCTTCTTAATCGTGTTTTTTATTTTCTTCGCCTTATCTTTCACCTTCTCCAGAACCGATTTCTTTTCTCCATGATGGTGCTCGCCTTCACCTTCTCCCTCAACATCTACAACAAATCAAACTCGGATAAATAAATTCTTCAAAAAATAAGCAAAAACTATAAGCTAATAACTTATAAGCATAATCAAGAGTCGAACCAGAGCGTAACCCCGCATGTCCTGGCTCTTCTTCATTGCCATGATGCGCGTGCAATTGAGATTCCATTTTTTACTGTAAGAAAAACTGTCGGTTTAAGTTTGAATTGAGACGATAAGAGAGATGAAGATGGGGAATTTATTAAATTGGCCAGCTCTGCCTGGATGAAGCGCTATTGGAGAGACACGCGTATTACGAATATGGACGCGTGTAGTGTAACTATTGTAGACGTGTCTATAGTGCTGGAAATGAGACTGGATACTCTTCTTGGATAATCTTCTTGCTGGAAATGAGACTGGAAAGTCGGTAAGTCCCGTTTGGCCACGTTATTTCAAATTATAATTTTTAGAATAATATTTCATTTTGGAGAATGTGTGGTTGAAAAATAAGATTTTTTTTAATTTACGTGTAATATTATTTTATGAAATATTGTTATATTAAAAATAAGTGAGAATAATAAAATTTTAAGATAACGAGACCTGAGACCAAAAGGGAGCTAAATAACAATAGGGATGCTAATGCTCTCAACTCGTGTCCACAAAATCAAAGTTCAATTCGGTTTTTTAGTTCTCGACTTCTCGTGGACCCAAGCCGAACTTGCTCGAACGGGCTTATGAGCTCACTAGTTGGCTCGTTTTTATAATTTTTTTTTAAAAAAAGTTTTAGTCAAAAAAATAAGTCGATAATATATGAGCTCAAAGACGAGTTTGATCATGAGCCTCGAGAATCAAGTTCGAAAATTCTCGATTCAGTCCATAATTCATATCCATGGAAACTTGAACAATTCAAAAATTGAGTCAAAACGAGTTGAACTAACTAACGACTAGACACATTTGCCTTCCCTAATGCACAACGAAGCTTATGGATAAAACGACAAGGCCTCTCCAACTTCGTCCTTCACAATTTTTTGTTCCTATAGATAACTGTAGGAACAATTACCGCATAGAACATCTATCTCTGCATATATAAATCCCGCGTTTATCAAGAGCGCCAAACTCGTAAATGCAAAATCCTGAATCCTTCAAATAAACCCTCACACACAACAAACGTGACGTGCGATGCGAAATCGATTCCTCGCCGCCGCCGCCGGCTCCGTTCAGCCCTTAGACTGCATCCGCCTCCCTCTCCCTCACCACCCGCCGCCAAATAACGTCTCATTCTCCCAAGATTTTCTCCACTCCTTCCATGACATTCCTGTTCTCAGCATTCCTTGCAAAGTCGACAAGCTTCAAACGGATAACGCTCTGTCTAAGTTCTTCTCCGACGTCCTTCCACATGTCATGATGAAGTCAACTTCGCGGAACAGGAGATCGGACCATCGGTAGTTCTAAAGGAAATCGTACGGTTTTAGTTTTAGTTTCCGAGGTAATTAATTAATGAGTTTTGAGTACCTGATTTCCGAATTTATTATTCTCAGATTTTTATTTCCCATGTTGATGATTTTGAAACATCACACGTGAAAATTGATGGTGGTGTGAGTTTTTTAAGTGTTTCAACCAAGCTCAACTTTACAGGAGTCCTATAGGTTTGGAGTTGGCGATTATGCAGGCAATCGAATTACTGAGATCTGATTCCAGGATACATCTTTGAGCCGTCATATTTAACAATTAAAAAAATTCTTACTTGTATTGTCATTGCTTGAAGAAAAATGTACCTGATAATTTTTTGGTAGAATCGGGAATGCTACTTGAGTTCATGCCAAATTCAGTTTTGGATTTCCAATTATATATATCATTTCAGGATTTAATTCTGAATATCCTCTTTGACTTTATTTAGTACTCCCTCCGTGCCATTTGGCCGACTTTTCTTATTTTCTTGTCTCAATTATATAGTCTTGTTTCTGAGAATGTTTGTTTTGTTCGTTTATTAGTATATCATTATTTAATTTGTCTAGTTATAACAAATTTTTCTAGCTTAATCTTGAAACTGTACATTTATATAAAGATACCTATTTCTTAAAAATTAAATCATTCAATTTCTTTACTACTTCCAACAATAATCTACCACTAGTTGATAATTAAATAAGGGTAAATTAAGAAAGTTTTTGGCAAAAATTGCTTTTTCAATAACATTAAGAGCTTGTTTGGGACCCTTTTTTTTTTTATGAAAATGCATTTTAGAGTAGTATTTTGATGGAGAATGTGTGGTTAAAAAATAAGGAAAAGTTTTAAATTTGCGTGTATAATTATTTTATTGAGAAATGTGTGGTTTAAAATAAGATTGAGAAAAATATATTTTGGAAATAATAGTACCAAACAAGGGCTTAATCCATGTGAAAAACAAAACTAGTCTATATAAATGGGAGGATGAGAGTATTAAACTTGTGGAAATTAGTGTATTCAACCTTTTTTCCTATAAATTTAGTAAAGGTCAATAACTGTCAACTGTGGCTCAAGTTTATATTTAGTAGCATTTCCTTTTCTCTTTCCTCTTCTAAGCCCTGAGATTTACTAAATCCCATGATAGGTTTTTCATTTAAAATATTTCAGAATTCGTGAAAAATCATCTTATGACTCCATGTGCTGATGGAATATAAGAAACGTCCAGGTGCAGATTACTAAAAGCTACACTTTAGATTTTAACATGTACTGATTAATGTTGTTTCTTCATAAAAGTTTTATTTGAAAGTGGGAATAATAAAAAGAAAATCATGTTAAATAACCGAAGATGTTTTCTCACTTTGTTAATCTTTATTTATGGTCGACTTGACCAGCATAAGAACTCAGAGATTCATTACAAAAAATGTACTGGATAATTTGGGTAATAAAATATAGATGTTTTAAGTATCAAAACATAGTATGTAAAGCTATCCTCTATGACAACTTAGTTCGGTTCCAGGATATTGATCACGTATTTCATGTTATTGTGGGAACAGGATGAGATGACATATGATCATGGTGGTAGGAATGTTAATGAAATTGTTCAATTTGAAATTCCAGAGATGGATATCTCACTGCTTCGGTCAGTATTTCCCTTCTAAGTGTTGCATCCAGATTGATGTCCTGGTGGTAGCAGACATGAACAAATAAGTATTTGAATTTCTACTTATTTACAATTTCTTTCTAATCAGCAGAAAAGTGCTATCAAATCCCAGGTGGTGGACTTGATTATTCTCTCCCAGAGTTTGCTTGCTGAGTGTACTATCTATGGTAAATGCTTAGAAGTTTTTGTTTATGTCTCCAGGCATAGGTATTAAATTTTGTTCAAACTAATACCCAACACCCTCTGCTGAGCAGTAGAAGTTCAGCTAGAATGGAAACAATTCTTTCCTTTTTCCCAATTCACTGTACAACTCTTTGCTTCGTTACTTTCTAACATAATAACATTAATGGTTTAGTAGCTGGAGATTTAATTCTTGGTTGGCATGAAAGGTGATCAATATAGATTAAAGTCCTGATAAGAGAGGGATTATGCAGAGCACAACTTGAGTCCAACTCTATATCATCTAAGAAGTTTAGGGCACCCTTTTCTCTCAACTAGGTTTTGTTCAACTTGTTGTGGAACCATAAACTGACTTAAAAACTGCTCTATAGTCTTTCTTTTACCCTCGAGAGTTGCATCCAGGACGGTTCTACCAGCATTATTGTTGCTCATAGGGCTCAATGCTTTAGACATTTCCACAACCTGGATGACATGTCTACCTTCCTTGAAGTACTGATAACGCAATTCTTATCCAGTCTAAGAATAAAGATATCACTTGTTAGTTTGAAGGTAAATTTGTAACTTCTTGCAGGATACGCCCACTTCTGACCTTAGTTTACCTAATCTTCTTAAGATTCAACAATCAGTTTATTCAGTCGATGACATCAGTTTAGAATATGCCATGGAATAAAAGGCTGATTTTTTGGAAGATGCTGGTTCCTGTGAAGGAGAGCTTCATTTTCATAATCTTCACTTTCCCCATTTTGAAGTGGACGGGGAAGTCTGGGTATCATCTTGCGTGCTATGCCACTTCTGACCGTAGTTTACCTAATCTTCTTAAGATTCAACAATCAGTTTATTCAGTCGATGACATCAGTTTAGAATACACTATGGAACATAAGGCTGATTTTTTGGAAGACGCTAGTTCCTGTGAAGGAGAGCTTCATTTTCATAATCTTCACTTTCCCCTTTTTGAAGTGGTCGGGAAAAGTCTGGGTATCATCAGAAATATAAATATGGAGGATGAGCTTCTAGATTTTGAAAATATTGAACCTCAGCAGCGGACAGAACTAGTATTGGGTGATGGCAAGGAGCTTTTGAGTTCAATTGAATTTGACTTAATGAAATATCTCTCAGGTCATCGTTTAGCAGTTCAGTGCCTTGAAGTTGAGTTGCACTGCTCAAATTTTGCATTGCAAATGGACTACATATGTGTTGTAGAACAATCTCATTGTGAGGAGTACTCAACAGTCAACATTCCATCAAGGCAAAGCAGATGGTGATATTATTGGATCAATGAACATGCGTCTATGTGAAGAATTCCAATTCTTTGATCAGGATCCATCTTATTCTTGTGAGGTCTTCTCAGATGCAGCCAAAGAGATTGAAGCGGAACCATGTGAATTCATGTTTGGAGAAACTATGATCTTTAGAAATTTTAGTGAATTTATTGTTTGTCCGAACTTACTCACATGGATGACTCTTTTCAAATCATTATTGGTGCCTATTATTTCTGGCTATGGAAGTATTAGGTCTTTGCATTCATTGGTTGAGCAAATATTAGCATAGGTGAAATCACAGTCGTCATCAACATCTGATGGTCTATATGTAGATTGGCATTCTAGAAGATGACAACTTTGGTAAATATTCTTATTGTAGGAAAATGCTTTGGGAGATAGATACTGACGATAGATGCTTCTATGTACTTGATTGATAGTAGGGAACAGACCTATGATTTTATTCTCCCTAAGGATTGTTCTGACAAACCAACTCAGAAGCCTTCAAGAAAATGCTGAACTTACCTTCTGCTGGTTTTTTCTATGTTTCATACTTATGTTGAAACAGACCTATGATTTTTATTCTCCCCAAGGATTATTCTGACAAACGAACTCAGAAGCTTTTAAGAAAATGCTGAACTTACCTTCTGCTGGTTTTTTCTATGTTTCATACTTCTGTTGATGAAAAAGATTCAGATAGTTTTTATAACCACGGAGACAAAAAAAGGATAAACACAGTCATGTTATCGAAAACCGGCATTGAGAAGGTTCCTTCGTTTGTGGAATCTATGTCTAGCAATCTTTATTTTTTCTTAAATCCCTATAGATGTTACAGGAAAAGAAAGTAAACGTGCAGATAAGTCTGTTGATATTATTTCGTGTCCAGGACTTTTTGCCAATGATGATTCTATTGCTAGTGATACTACCACCATGGTTCAACAGCAGTAGATTGTCAGGTTGCACCGAGTACAGTTGTCTGAATATATTCTATTGCTGATTGTTAATTTTCATAAAAGTCTTCTTGACCCTCTTGGAGAACAATACAGAGTTGAGACGGTCAAAATCAGAGTCTAGATCGAGCTAGCGAGAACCTGATTTTACATTGCCTTCCTAAAGAAGAACTCATGGACCGTCTTAAGAAAAAAGTGCACCAAGTACTTATTTAGTTCACAATGATAATAATATTCTATTGTTGATGATGTTGTGTGCAATTAAACAGATGTCTTTCTACCTCTGTTTCTATGGAGTCATGCCGCTTACCTATATGTAGACAGCTTGCGCAGCAGCCTGCAGTGCTTAAAATCCAGATTAATTTTTCTGTATAACTTGATCAAAGTTGCGGATGAAGGCTGAGAAAGATATATGTGAAATTCACCCCTCCCTTTCTGTTGTGCATGAAATTTTGCTGACAAATTTAAGCAGCAGTAGTTTGAAAATAATAATTGTTGCTGACCGAGTTTTATGGTGGCCATTGAAGAGACTGTTGACATCCATGAAGATATCATATAATGAGTTACATCATTTATCTTCCCATGCAAGTCAACAGGGTCGTGAGTTCATGGACACCATACTAAATACTATGCTTTCCTTGGATTGTTGTTTGATATTTGATGGAAAAAATTAACATGACAATTTCTTTAACTGATGTAGTGAAACCTTCCCTTGTTGATTATGGGACGGGAGGAACTAAGTGCGTCTTTCTTTTCCAGCCTAATCTCGAGAGAGGAGTCCAGTTAATCACCGACTTGTCATGAAATTTTTCTTGCATGATTCCTTGAAGATTGACTAGTTACAAACATGTAATTCAGAACCGATATTGCATTATCATGAAATTCTACCCACGTGCATTCATATATTTGACCTTCCAGTTTCAGTATATGACTCATGAAATGCTATTCATGCTTAAGACAGACACTTTTCTTTGCTCCAAGCTATGAAGTGATATCCTAAGTAGGAGAATAGAAAAGTATTGAAATGCTTAATTCCGAGTGCGAGTCCTTAAGTTTAAAGACAAAGTGCAAATAATGTTTTCTAGTGAAAACCTCTATTGACAAATGCCCGACTCGGGCAGTCTAGCCCAATACTTCCTCTCTGCATTTCCGATGAAACCATTGCTTTGCTAAGTGAAATGAGCAGATATGGTGTGTGGGAGGATTCAAAATCTGGAATGACAGACTTCTCCTCTTTAGTATCTTCAGCTCCCGACTCATAGACTGCTGAATTCAGAAGTGCGTCTGAGAGGAAGAAACTAAAATATACTCACAATCTTTATGATGCCAGAGAGCCTCCAAACGACTTGTTTCATATGGAGTCATTAAAGCTATTTTCAGACCACCCACTCCACCCCCCCCAAAGCATCAATTTCATGTGATTCTTGGCTGTCAGGAAGTACAGAGAAATTTGATTAATCTGGTTAAGTCCAGTTTATCTTTTGATGACAAACTGTTTCATTATAGCCAGGGATTAGATATGTCGCAGGGATTAGATATCGACATAATGATGAATTCATCCACCATGTTAAGATTTCATGATTTTTCAGATGCAGAAGATCTCGAAATATTAGGTGAGATGGAGAAGCCCACAATGGCTCAGATTGGTGTAAATTATGATCGAAAAGGGAGATCAGGTACATCTGCGATAATCAACTTCAGTAGACAAAATCCCAAGGCTTCTGAAAATCTACAGGAAGATTTGATTGGTGAAGTTATTGACATTGACAATACTCCAGTATTTAGGAATATCAGTGACTGTTCACCATTTCTGCTTGATTGGGGGGTGGGGGAAGATTATGCAACAAGAAAATTTAGAATGAGTAAACCATTTCCAGGAGTAAGCAAAGTTCCTATTTATACAGATCCTGTTGAAATTAATTCTGCCTCAGATGCCTGGCTTTCTATTAGGGACATTAGACACAGGGACGTAGCCAGGATCTAAACTCGGGGGGGCGAAAATACGGGGGGTGGAGGGGGTCGGGCCCCCCTCTCCGCCCCCGAATTTTTTTTTTAATTAAGAGGATTGAAAACGGCGATTTTGAGTGCCAAAATAGGCAAGTTAAATTGATTGACCAAAAAGATAATCAGTTTGTCGATATAAAAATAATATGTCAATCTATGTGTCTAACGCTATACAAATTGAAAATATGAACGTTAGATGGACATCAAAAAGATAAAAAGTAAACTGCTCATCTATATATTAGATGGTAGAGATGGCTTGAACATCTGAAATTGGTCTCTCCTTGTCCTCATCACTTCAAAGTCGTCAATAAGATAATCTAATGGAAAAGTATCAACAATCTCCTTCTCTATATACACAAGCATGGTACTGGACAAAAAATCATCTTCCATTCTATTACGCAACCTTGTCTTAATGATACTCATAGTTGAAAATGCACGTTCTGTAGTTGCTGTTGAAACTGGAAGAGTCAAGACAAGACGAATCAATCTATCAACAAGATTATAACTCATTGATTTTCTTGTCAATGCTAACAGTTGGCACACGTCGGGCAATGTTGTCAAATTTTTGAATTGAGGGTTACGCTGAACTTCAATTTGATATAACTCCAATTGATCTTTCAAATGCAACTTCTCTTGATCTGTAAAGTCAGCGGTATAAAATTTATCTGCAAGCTTACAAATATTCTGAACATCAAAAGCCTTGTAGCCGTCTCTAGGATCTAATGATGAGCTAAGAATAAGCAATTCCACCACATCTTCATTAAATCTATCTCTTAACTCCTGAACTTGAAAATCAACTATTGCAAGAAACAAGTCAATTTTGTAATGATGTTGCAAAGTGATAGGATCTTTTTGCTTAGAAGTCCTCCCTCGACCTGCTCTATATAAAGAAGCCATATCAGGAATGTCTATGTTTCTTGAAGTACAAAATGCCTTCACATTGTTCAACAATCCATCCCATCCATCTTCTCTATAGATTTGAAGTCGGGTTTTCGTCACTGACACCAATTCCATTGCATTCAATATATCCTGAGACTTCAATTGTAATGCTTGACAAAGAACATCTGCAAATCCCAAGATATCTCTCATTAAATGTAGAATAAACACGAACTCAAAAGATGTCATGACATCATAAACACCATCAGCTTCACTCCTGTTAGCTAAAGTACTTCCATCATTGATGATATCAACTAAAACAGAACAAGTGTCATCAAACAAAACAAGCAAACTACAAATGGAACCAACGTGTGAGCTCCATCTTGTACTTCCAGCACGTTTTAGAGTTCCGATCTGATTTTTTCCTCTTCCAGTTTCAAACTCACCATTCTCATCATTGGTAATCATTTCTGCAATTCTAGCTGCTTGAGAGCTTCGAAGTTTGTCACTTTGTTTACTAGAAGAGGTAACCAAGTTCACAATAAGAGTTAAGTAATCAAAAAACTGAGATACTGGAATTACTTGCCTAGCTGTTGCCACAAGAGCCAATTGGAGTCGATGAGCAAAACAATGAACATAATACGCATATGAACATTCCTCAATGAATAAAGCTTGCAATCCATTCCACTCTCCTCGCATATTACTAGCTCCATCATATCCTTGACCACGGATATTTTGTATGCTAAGGTTATGTTGAGAGAGAACTCTATGTATCTCCTTTTTTAAAGTTGATGATTTTGTATCTTCAACATGAACCAAATCAAAAAATCTCTCTCGTATGTAACCTTCTTTGTCAACAAATCTAAGAACAATAGCCATCTGCTCTCTTTTTGATGAATCTTGAGATTCATCCACTAATATGCAAAATTTGGCATTACCAATTTCATTTACAATAAAATGTTGTACCTTGGATGCTAGAAGAGATAATATCTGCTTTTGAATCTCAGGAGAAGTATAAGTTGCATTTCTTGGAGCATTCTTCAACACAACTGCATCCACAGTCTCATTGTAACGTGCCGTGTGTTTAATCAATTGGATAAAGTTCCCTCTGTTAATGGATTCAGGTCTTTCATCACGACCTCTGAATGCTATCCCTTGAAGCGCACACCATTTTATTGCATCAATGGATACTTGAACTTTCAATCGATTACTTACAACCTTTTCGGAGCTTTGCTTCTCAATAACTTTATCCACGTGTTGCAATGAATTCATCAAGTCACGACAACAATTCATAGCCCTTTTGTGCAATTTATTTGGGTAATTTCCCACATGATTTAGAAAAGCACAATTCTTTCCATCATTAACTTTCTTCCAATTCCTGAAACCCTCAACTGTAAATGCATTTTGACCTGTTCGAGCACATGGTGGATTAAAAAGATAGCAAGGAAGACAATATGCCCCATTTTTTGTTGGCAAAAACTCTAGCCAATCTGGAAAGAGTTTGTACCAACAAGGGAGAAAACGTCTACCATTCTTATCCAAATACATTGACGTTCTAGGAGGAATTGGTTGATATGGCCCCAACTTGATATAAGCTCGTCTGATTGCATCCCTTTGCTCTATCGGAAAATCCAACATTGATTTGCGTAGTCCAGGATCACGTTCCAATGAAGATGAATCGAATTCCTCATTCTGAGGAGAAGAATCAACAACATATGGTTCTTGACCAATGTTATCTTCCGGAATAAGAGATTCAAGATTAGAAGTAGAAACTTCTTCAAAAGTTCCTTTCTTGAAATATGAATCAATTTTCTTCATGCTGTAAATATTAAGAATGAAGTTATTGACAAAATTGATAAAGATCCAGAACGGTAATCTTGATTAATTAGCACTACACAAAATATTAAGAATCGGCTTCATATTAGCACTACACAAAACTACAGGTAAGAATGGGCCCTTAAAATTTTGACAATATTAAGAATCGGCTTCATATTAGCACTACACAAAACTACAGCCTACAGGTAATCTTGATTAATTAGGTATCCTTCATATTCGTTAAATCGGAAAAATTCAAAAAGGCAAGCAAACACGACCTGCTCTATACTAGAAAATAACAAATATTTTATGCCTATAACCATTCACCAGTAAATCAGAGATTGGAGTAATTAGTAAAGGTTTAGAAAATTGATTATTCCTTACCTCACGACGGTCGGACAGGCGCACCACGCAGGGAGGAAACTCAGGCGGCAGGCGCAGCCTCGCAGTCGCAGGGAAGGGCTGAACTGAAGGTGGAGGAGTGGAGGCGGTCCAGGCGAAGCAGCGTGGAGGAAACTCAGGCGCAGCGGCTGCCGGCAGGGAAGTGAAGACGGGACTGGGACTGGGAGTCTCTGGTTTAGCAAGTTGAGCCCTTGGAAGTTGGAAGCCGTTTTAGACTTTTAGTGCTTAAAATTACCAAAAACTGGGCCGCCTAATTTTTGGACCCGGTCATTAGCTTTTGTTTTGGATTTGAACTCTTTATTTATTTAAGTAAATATTGAATCTTTTGTTTAAATTTAAGATTTTTGTATTATTGAATTTTAATGTGTAAATTATTGGGTCAATATTTATTAATGAATAAAAAAATTTCAAAATTTTGCGAGGCCAAAACTGAAAAATACATTACAAATTAACTAGGAATAGTGGACTAGCGGCAATGTTGGGGGGCGACCCTCTGTCTCTGTGCTCATGAGTTCGTCATCGACTTGAAGGGCTTTAAGGCAATTCTGGATGAATGTAATGTACAATCAGCTTCCTTCCAATTTCCACGATCTCTTTTTCTTTCTGCAAGTGACATTTACTATAGAATCCTGTTGGAATTGAGCTTGAGGATGTCGCTATACTTCTCATGGACTATGGATTCCATGGCCAATTCCGGGTACACCTATGATTGAACCAACTGAAAGTCAAAGCANGGCTTTCTATTAGGGACATTAGACAGTTCGAAGGAAGAAATTAGGGAACATTTTGATATTGTTGAAAATAAAAAAAAAAATCATTGAAGTGCCAGAAAAGGCTCTTTCAGGAGGATGTGACAGAAACAAACCCCCAAAATTCCTACAAATTATCTTACCAAGAAAAGGGTCCTCAAAACTATGTCTGAACATCACTTTAATGTTCTTCGCTCCACCCAGCCTCAACCAGGATTGTCCTGGACGATTGAGTTTCTAAACAGAATAATGGAAAAGAGTATATTGCAACAACATTCTTTTCCATGTAACTTATCCTCCTCTCGTTTTAACTACTCTAGGAATGCATCAAAGGTTACTAGAAGGAAGAGTTCATCTATTCTTGAATCGTACCAAGGAGGCATCACCTGAGAGAATAGTCAAAGGAAAGAGACAAAGGAGAGCTTCATAGCATTCAAATTCATCAAAGAACAATAAGAGTTTAGCTTCCTGCCTTCAAGCATTGACTCCAATCGTTAAGAGAGCAATTCGGGTGTGTTGACTGAACTTCTATCTCATACCGGAGAATCTTCTCCTATTGCTTCCTGATCTTTATTTGATCAACTGCAGATGGTATCTTTTGCAACAGACGGAAATGGAGGGCAAAGTAAGCTGGTCTGGAGTGATGAAAGTTCTCGTACTTCCAACAGAAGATTTTAGCATTGATTACAATATGGCAAGAAGTTTGCACGATCATATATTTGCTAAAATTGTTCAAGAGAGTGGTAAGTTTTTAAGTTGTCTCATTGTTGGTTAATCTATACCACTAACAAAAAAGGTGCTTCTTTTTAACCCATCAGTCAAGTATTGTAGCAACAAGTAACTCTCTGGCTTACTTGTAAGCTTCATTCATCTCCAATTTCCCGTGGTACCTAGAGAATCATCAATGCAAACAGGTACTAATAGGTTTTGAATTTTTTTTTGCAGGACAAAGCTTTCTTGACGTATAAAAACGAAGCAGTTTAATACAAACAACTCAATATTGATGGCATTGAAATTTCATGAATCTTGCAGAAGCAATGAACTCATTGCTTAGTGCTTCTTTTGGCCTCCAAACAGGATGCTGTGTACTCTTTCTCTCTCTCCCATTCCTTCTGTGCCTTTCCCCTTCTATTACTTGTTGTACCTTACTTTATGTGGAATTAATTTCAATTGTTTATTTGTTAAATGGTCAATAAATATCAGTTGAGAGAGCTTGTATATCCCTGATATTATCTTTCCATTATTGTGCCCTCTTCAGCCCGACATACATCATAAGGGATCAGTTTCAAAATTGAAGTCTGGTGCTATATTTATAGTACAAGTATTTTGAAGTTTATAAAGATCTGCTGGACCAACTTCTATTGTCGGATAATAATCCTATTACCTGGATTCAGTGAATAGATTCAAGATATGTGGTAGGCGCCTAGTGTTCTCTGGATCAGCTTGCTCTAAAAGTATTTGAAGATAATGTTTTGGTTCGTGAATTTCTAAGGAGAAATGGAAGAGTTTTGGTTGTTGACGGTGGAGGTAGTTTGAGATGTGCAATATTGGGTGGCAACCCTGGAGTACAAACTCTGAACAATGGATGGGTAGGTAAAGTAGTCAATGGCTGCACAAGGGATGTGGATGAAATCTATGATTGTGATATCGGAGTGAGAGCTCTGGCTCCACATCCAGTGAGAGCTAATAAGAAAAGGATTGGAGAAAAGCATGAATTCGACCAAAATTCTTGAATTGCGTGCTTTTAAGTGGACCTTTTGGTCAAAATAATTGAAATTCAACTAGTCACTTTATTTTTGTGGCTGCCTAAACCAAACAGAACAGCTCATATTTGATGGAATTTTTGGGTCTTGTAGTGATGATTGCTATTAAAGAGGATTCTTTAATATTGATTCCAAAAAGAGTGAAAAAAAAGAAAGAAAAAATAATTAACAAAAAGAAAAGATTGGTGAGGATTCTACGGGATCTTTCACCCATCAATCTCCATCTGTCTTCTAGCTTAAATATTACTCTTTTGTGTATGATAGTTTATCTTTTTAATTATTAATAACACGATACTCCATATTATAGAAAATGTAATAATTCAATTTATCTTTTCAATTCGAAATCTTAATTGAGTTAATTTCGCAATCAATTTTAATCAAGCAATAAATATAATGAACAAAAGTGGTATGCCACACGTAACCTTAACATTCGTGTTAAAAAGCATGAAGACACATTATGCTTTGAAATTATATTATTATTTAGTTTTATTTCTATACAATGCTGGCATCAAATAAAGTTAAAGCACTTCGAGTATTGATGTATCACATCAAAGCTTGCAAAAAATCATGATAAATTATTCTGTATCGAAATAAAAACGAAAAATCTATCAATGAGGACCCACGACGTACGTACAAAATTTTAGCGTGGGAATCTTACATGATTATTTTTATCCCACTGCAAATGAGTGTGCTTTTAAAAGTTAAAGGAAAAGATCGAATATCATGAAAAGGATAAGTTAGTTCTCACGAGATATAAACCTATTTACGCTGAATTCCACTTGATTTTGAGACGAGATATTTCAGATCCCAAAGGCAACGAGAATTATGAATTGTTTATTTATTTTATTCCTTAAAATGCAAATTCCCAGCTATAGAAAAATCTGTGCCAAATTCCCAAATATCTGTCCAGGTGAGTCTCTTCAGTTCTCAAGTGACAGTTACCGTCCACCAACCAATTACACTAATATCTCCCAAACCCACCATTACCAACAAACGCATAATTTTTTTCTCCACAGCGACAGCATCTTCCACTGCTTATATCTACAATTCTTAATTCTTCTGTAGTATTTGTTAAAGTAAAATTAACAAGATAGCTAAGTTTTCTGAAGTGATGGCGGAGGAGGAAGCCAAGAAAGTGGAGGCTGATCCATGTTCTGAGGCTCCACCACCTCCGAAGGAAACAGTTGAAGCTACTCCGAAAGATGTCACGGAGGAGAAATCTGTAATCCCACCTCCTCCGGAAGAGAAACCGGCCGCTGATGAGTGTAAAGCTCTCGCAGTTGTTGAAAGTAATTACTTACCTACCCAACTCTCTTTTTGTATGCATATTTTTATTTCATTTTCGGATCATTTTTCATTTTTTCCAATGATATCTATTTAAAGAAGTAATTTTACCTATGTTGAAATCCATTATTTTCAGTAAACTTAAAAATAATGACAAAAATAAGTATTCTTGAATATTCTTTATGGTTTTTGTTAATTTTTTAAGAAGTCGGTAAATTTCACATTCGGTCCTCAATGTTGAGAACGGTGGCAAGTTAGTCCCAACCATTTTTCCTTGCACTACACGGATATTCATTTTCCTGGTTTTTTTTTACCTTTTCTTTTAGTTTAAAATTTGAGGGCAAAAGTTCCGTGTTGTCAATTTAAGTGTACATTTACCCATTCTAAGTACTGGGCACTAAGCTACTAGTATTTGCCTTCATAAGAAAAAGAAATTCACTGAGTTAATTATTTTATTTTTTTTTTCTATTTCAATTGTTGAGCCATTTTTTGATGTCTCAACTTGGAAATTTTCCAATGATAATTAAATTTTCCAATTGAAGTCATGCCTTGCACAAATTAAGTTAATTGGTAACATTTTTTTTTATTAATTGTTTGTGACTTTTCTTCTTCCTTCTGTGCAAAGAACCAGAACCTGTTGAGGAGAAAAAACTCGAGGGCTCTATTAACAGAGGTAATTTAAGATTAGATGCTATTGTATTGTCTTTTTTCCTTCAACTTATAGCACGTTTGACGTACTTAAAAGCACATTTTCATGTGCTTATTCGGGTGCAGCAGCATACATGCTACCAGAAGTTTTGACTAGTACATGTATTGATAATATATTTAGACTCCGTTAATTAATCAATTTATAAAGAGGAATTTTGTGGATCCCACAAAATGTTGGAATAATAAGTAAGTAGTTGTGAATGTATAATCGAAACTAATACGGAAGCTTAGTTCTTTATATTAATATGGCCTCAGATGCTGTACTTGCTCGAGTTGCTACGGAGAAGAGATTGTCTTTAATTAAAGCATGGGAAGAAAGTGAGAAATCAAAAGCTGATAACAAGTAAGTGTTTTTTTGAGCATGCACTGTTTTTTACTTATCCATGAAGTCTTAAGTTTGTTTTTTCAATTATAATCTTACAACCAGAAGGGTTTCTGAAAATTATTTTTTGGCTTCACAAGAAACATAAATGATTTAGAATCTATTTTTGTCTGGCTTAATATTGCTCTTTTTGGATTTGTCAAAAATGTTTACTTTGGTCCTCGGTCGGATTCACAATCTTCACAAGCCCAACTTCCTGTAATAACTCCAAGATATACACGATCTTGGTCACATTAAGATGCTTAGTGTGTGGATGTTAGTCGAACAACCATGCATAGGAACATGTATATCAAAGAGAGGCTTAATTTTCTATGCTTTTAGAAGAGGTTATTCAAGATGAATTGGACCCAAAATCCAACATGGATAATATTGATGAGTCGATGCTAAATCAAGAAATTTGAAATTATTTGCAGATCTCAGAAAAAGATATCTGCCATAGGAGCATGGGAGAACAGCAAGAAAGCAAGTCTAGAGGCTGAGCTTAAGAAGATTGAGGTAAACAAAACCAAGTCTTTACATAGTTTTCTTTTGTTCTGAAATTTTAATTATCAAAATGTGTAGTTTTCTCCTTAGTTTCTGTTTATCTTAATATCTAAATCCTGTAGGAGCAACTGGAGAACAAGAAAGCTGAATATGTCGAGAAAATGAAGAACAAGGTTGCTCTTGTTCACAAGGCAGCAGAAGAGAAGAGGGCAATGATTGAAGCCAAACGAGGAGAAGATCTTCTCAAGGCAGAGGAAATGGCTGCAAAATACCGCGCCACAGGAACTGGCCCAAAGAAACTGCTAGGATGTTTTTGAAGCTGGAATTACCTGGTTTGATTTGAAACTGAAGTTGCGTTTGTAAATCTTTTAGGTTTGAGAATTTGTGTTCTAATTTGGTGAAGAATTGATTGATTGTTATTATTATGTGTGCATAATATTGATATCTGTTTGTAGATATTGGCTTTGTGAAATGGAAAAAAAAAAAAAAAAACCAAGTTTGTATGGAATTTGTTTTGTAGTATTTGGAATTCTAAAATGCATATACAATTACGAATCCCTACATGTTTGGTACTGGTGCTCAATAGAATTTTGTCCTTCGTTGTATTGTGTATTGCTCTCGAGTACTGTGTACCAAATATAATTGCATTACGTTTTAAAGCCAATTTCTTGGAACAGAATGAGCTAATTACCTTTCAAAGAACCACGACGTCATTTAAGAACCAACCTTCAGAGAAAGCTGTAGAGTTATCCTCTACTAACATGAAACATCATCCAAACAAATGACAAAGCTTTCAAAGCTGTACTTTAAGTTTCTCAATTCCACAACTAAAAGTCCAAGAAGCTAATAGATGAAAACCAGCAGATTAACTTGACTAAATACGATAGGTGAAGAGTAGGTATTAGGTTTCGAATGCACGATCCTCCTTGGTGTAGAACATCCCCAACCAGTCCTCATAGGAATCCCATATCATTACCAGTATCCGAGAACTCTAGTAATAAATTCCACATTGCTTCAGAATCATCCAAATCATACGACTTTGTTGAGTTTGAATAAGCTGCCATGTCTGCTTCCTTATAACTGCTTGTACTTCCCATGTGTTGTTGGCCTGTCATGTCAGTGGATCCTAGGTTCTTACAACGTTCAGCATTAGCTGTAACTCCCGAACCCAAACCAGAATATACTTTTGTCATTGACGATGTCTGAGATGCAGGGCTGCCAGTTTTTGTTCCACTGCATTCGCCAATTCTTGCATTGAAGTTGAGAAATGATTTCCCAACCTTAGAGTCCCCAACTTTTGTCAATGACATCTGAGATATAGGACACTGAGTTTTTGTTCCACTGCATTCCCCAGTGCTTGCATTAATGTTTAGAAAGGCTTTCCCAACTTCGGAGTTCCACATGCGGAGGAAAAAGTCGCCCTCAGAATTAGCCACAGTTGGTGGATTTTGAAGCACTGGATTTTTAGGCAGTCGAGCCTCAGCCTCTAGTCGAACACACTCCCACTCTGCCCTGTGGCGAGCTAGTGCAGATTCTGAATTCACGCCCNATTCCACAACTAAAAGTTCAAGAAGCTAATAGATGAAAACCAGCAGATTAACTTGACTAAATACGATAGGTGAAGAGTAGGTATTAGGGTTCGAATGCACGATCCTCCTTGGTGTAGAACATCCCCAACCAGTCCTCATAGGAATCCCATATCATTGCCAGTATCCGAGAACTCTAGTAATAAATTCCACATTGCTTCAGAATCATCCAAATCATACGACTTTGTTGAGTTTGAATAAGCTGCCATGTCTGCTTCCTTATAACTGCTTGTACTTCCCATGTGTTGTTGGCCTGTCATGTCAGTGGATCCTAGGTTCTTACAAGGTTCAGCATTAGCTGTAACTCCCGAACCCAAACCAGAATATACTTTTGTCATTGACGATGTCTGAGATGCAGGGCTGCCAGTTTTTGTTCCACTGCATTCGCCAATTCTTGCATTGAAGTTGAGAAATGATTTCCCAACCTTAGAGTCCCCAACTTTTGTCAATGACATCTGAGATATAGGACACTGAGTTTTTGTTCCACTGCATTCCCCAGTGCTTGCATTAATGTTTAGAAAGGCTTTCCCAACTTCGGAGTTCCACATGCGGAGGAAAAAGTCGCCCTCAGAATTAGCCACAGTTGGTGGATTGGCAAGCACTGGATTTTTGGGCAGTCGAGCCTCAGCCTCTAGTCGAACACACTCCCACTCTGCCCTGTGGCGAGCTAGTGCAGATTCTGAATTCACGCCCGCTGATATGGAAGGAGACGGCCGGTGGGAGCGTATGCTGTCAAAGCGTTTTCTTAGATGCGAATTCCAGTAGTTTTTTACGTCATTATCTGTTCTTCCCGGTAGGTTGGCTGCTATGAAAGACCATCTGATAAAACAATAAGCAGATTGCATTATGGAAACCTTAAAATGAATCTATAATGCATTTTCTACTATTTTTCACTGGTTCAACTCTTTTTCCAAAAGAAGAATTGGGTTTTCTCGTGAAATATAGGTGGATTGAAACTGCAGTATGTGATATTACCAGTCTTTAGACAAATAAAAATCTACCGGAAAGTTTAAATGCGAGAGATACCAAAAGTTCATTAATTATCAACAACCCGAAAGGCAACTACTACTAGTGTTCCTCTATGATAATTATATCTCAGTCTGAATTAGAATACATGTTAACGGCAAATCACATTCACAAGGCTGAATTGGTATGTTCATCAAGTCGTGGCATCAAAGAAGTTCAGTGCCAAAAGGAAAGAATAGAATTCAAGGCACTCGATATAAAGGTATCGAAAGATATGATGGAAGAAATTAATTACTTGTTACCAATCTCTGCATGGAGCCGAGAAATAGTATACTCTTCCTCTAGAGTGAAGATACCACGTTTAATGTCAGGTCGTAAATAGTTTGTCCAACGAAGTCGACAGCTCTTTCCACATCGGTTCAGACCTGTAATTATCACATAAACAAAAGGTCACTCTTAGTCCCCTGATAGGCAATACTTTTAGTTATAATCATATCACATTTATTATCGGTGATCATCAAAGGCATAGAGGAAGGTTTTGTTTGAAATATTTTGTCCAATCTTATGGCATGAACCTTAATACATACATACGTACGTATGTATGTATCTTTTATTAAGATTTATTTATTGAATGATTCGTAGTTATGACCACCGGCTTAAAGTGGGGGCAGTCTGTGGGGTCAACTGACCCCACTGAGATTTGAAAGTTTGAATAAAAAATTACTATAATATCAAGTGGGCCCACTACAATTTGAGGTTCGAAAAAAAAATCTTAGTTAAAATCTGACTCCACTGAGTAAAATTTCTGACTCCATCTTAAAAAAAGGTCAATTGAAAAATGAGGTGGGAATCTTGAAAAACGTTTGTCTGATAATTAGTAGCAACATTAAATTATGCTTGAACACACTATATTTGTATACTAGAGAAATTCAACGATCAACTATTCATTAATCTTGTCATAGAAATATTTATCGAATAATCAAAAATATAAAAGGGGTAAATGTCTGCCACGTGAATCCTTTGTCGTCACTCGGTCCAAATCAAAAGGGATATAGTTGTGCCATGTAAATCTTTTTGTCGTCATTCGGACCGATCGATCGGAGTTACGTGATCAAAGTATAAGATGAAAAGGAAGAGGGCAATAAAGACAAACCAGCAAGTTCAGGTAGCTCTTGCCAAATTACATGCCCATTTTCTCTGATGAAGTCACTAAGAATTTTGTCCTCTTCAGGAGTCCAAGTCCCTCTTCTCACTTTGTTTTTGTCACAGCATGGCCTTCTTAAGTTTTGCTTCTTCTCCACCTCTTCCTCCTTTTTCTCGTTCTTTTTCGCCATTAATTCTTCAAGAAGAACCCAGAAATAAACTGCACACAAATACTTGAACACAATACATAACACAGAAATTCAAGAAAATGTAAATATAGAATAAAAGAATGCAAAAAGAGTCATAAATTTCTCAGAGAATGTCGTCATCACAGACATCAAAGGCACCAATTTTTCATCTCTGTACATGGACATTTATTTTGTGATTTAAACTTAAAATTGAAGTGCACAGAATTCTCAGGTCAAAGTCCCCATAAAAATCGAATTTTCACCCCACCCCCGCCATCCCAAAGCAAGACTCCGCCCCTGCATTTTTTGTGTGATGACGGTGGTGTATATACATGCATGCAGCCGAAACAGATACACAGATATAGAGAGAGAAAATGAAGCTCACCTGAAACTCAAGAGTGAGAAAGTGTTGAGCGTTTTTGCTGAGTTCATACACTCTCTTCTCTTCTCCTGTCCTCTCTTCTTTTATGTATTTCCAAAGATGACTAAAGATTGTGAACTTTAGCTGACATTTATAATGAAATGTAATTTGATAAGATTACCACAATTCATTTAAAAATTTCGTGCAACCTAATCCCGCTTTGGACTAAATGTATTTAGGGTTGCCACGTGTTGTGAGTATGTGTAGGAATTTTTCGGATGTGAACTGTCCCAGTTCAGAACCAACTTTTTTCTGACATATTAGAGTTAGAATTAAATTTATGGTGATTTTTTTTAATAAATAAAAAAAACATTATTTATAATTCAAAATATTTGGATAAAAACTTACGAATACTTTTATAATGACTTATTTTCGGAAAAGTACTTATAATTTATATAATATTTAGAAGAGTTGATTATTTTGCATATATCCATTAATGACTACTTAAAATCAAGCTTGTAAGAACTCCATAAATTTGATAGGATCGGGTGGATCAATTTGATCAAAGAAATTGAGAATTGTATTTGACCTATTACTTTTAAAAGTATCGAAAATTTAAGAACAATTAAAAAGCTCAAAACCGTCCAGTTCACCCATGTAACGACACATTTCTCTTTTTCTTTAGTACTTTTTGTACGTATCTATGATGTCGTTATATTTAATGTGTAATCAATAATTTATTGTCGTTATCATGTTTTGTCGTAGAATGTACTTATATAAGATACCTCAGACGTGCGCATATCTAATTTAGTTATAATATTTATATAAATCTATTAAAATTGAAGTATTATATGATACATTTACCTCATTAAATCAATAATTAGCAGCATTGATGTCCGATCTAAAAATCCATGTCAGGTCACTTAGAGGTTCAATTTGAATTGGTCAAGAGAGGTTATCCTAATTCAAACAAGATAGGGAGGAAGATCAGCCCAAGGCTCCACCCACATTGGTCAAACCATTGAAGACGTCATCTGAAAACATCATCATTACATGATTGAGAAGGTGTTCCAACAAAAGGCAGCCTCGTAAAGGCTACCAATCAAAAGAGAATCACGTTGGCTTAAGGTACATGCTTATAGCCTGGGTGTTATGATGATCCGTCGCAATCAAATTCTCTCATTAATCAAATATCTTCAAAAAAGACGATAGCACACATGTCTAGATCGAACATTATAGATTTGACATGACCAGGACAACAAACTCCACTCTATTGACCTATATAAAGTAGTAAAAACCTAGTGAAATGCGATCGTTGCCAAAGATAAATAATTATTATTTAATTTCAAATGTCTTTGTACTTTTTCTTGATTTATTATGAAAAAATAAATTATTATTTTGTTCCTGAAAGAATTTTACGTTAATATTTAATTTTATTGCAGTATTTATTAACGAAAGGTTTGTAAAAATAAATGTTTTTAACGAAAAAGTCATTCTTAGACTTTAATTACTTTACCAACTCTTTTCTAATTACCGACAAATTTTACTAAAAGTAAAATTAAAATTTTATATTAATTTATTTAATAACAAAAAGCTCGATTATTATCTGAAATTAATATGTTAATTTTTGTTTTGTTGTCAATAGATTTTTTTAAATTAATCTCCATGCGTGCCAAGGTGAGCGAGCTTTGCAGTCTTGTACCTATAAATGTTGACGATGTGAAAAGATTATTAGATTATTTTTCTTAATAATTGATTATAACTTAGTGTTAAGTATGGGGATCGTTCAAATTTTTTACTCGAATGGAAAATAGATATGTATTTAAGTTTCGTGTCGAAGAAACATTTTTAAACCAATCAGCAACAGTTCATTTCTGAAATTATTACAGAATGGCCCTTCTAATGTACTTACAAATTAATAGAAAACAACATTAACATTATCCTAAGAAGTAACTTCGTGTGGACAATAACCATTAATTACTGTACATGGATTATCACGATCCTGCTTTATTATAGTAACTGCAATTAGAGGTTATTCTCTCCTGAAGTTGCTCATACATATATCCACACACCTTCATATATACATTTCATCACAACTCATGCTGAATTCACCAGGAAAATAATCCAAAAGCAGATCTTGGTCAAACGCTGGAAAAAATATATCATCAACTGAACTGTTGTTTGCTTTTGTGTGCATTTCCCTCTCAACCGTCTGATCATCAAGCAGTAAACCAAGAATGGATTCATCTTGAAAGTTGGTATTAGGGTTGTCAAAAGTATTCTTGAAAAGGCTAGAATTCTGCAAATCCTTGCCATGAAACTGATCTAATGAGAGCCATTCAGCAAAAAGAATTTTGGGTAAATTAAAATTTTGGGCTGGACTCTTTTGTTCAGTAGATTGATCCGTATCCATTAATGATCCTTCCGTGTATTTGATTGAATCGAAACTTGAGTTTTGAGTAGTCAAATTCAGGGAAGTAGACGAAGAGTTTAAATTTTCCATTTCTCCACCTGTGAATGCAGGCTTTGCCTGAGTTTCAGTTTCATACAGTTTTGCTACCTTTTTCTTCAGATGAGAATGCCAGTAGTTCTTTATCTCATTATCAGTTCTTCCAGGCAAATGGTGTGCTATTTGAGACCACCTGCACAAAAAAAGTAACAAATGTTGGTAGTTCAAAAGTCTAATAATTTGTGACATATTTGGTACATGAAGAATTCGACAGCATTGGACAGTGCAGCTTGTAAGTTTGATAACGTCTCCATTCTTTAATCATGTTCAGTCCCGTTTCATCAATTTATCTAATTTGTCAGAGCATATCCTAACCTAAGGATTGCGGAGAACGTATGAATTCACTTAAGATGTTGAGTATGCTGGACCATAAAAAATATATAGCACAGGATTAAATAATAAAAAGAAGTTTAAATCTTGTCGGTAATATAGTGTGCCAAATGTGCTTTTAGTTTCTTACTTGTTGCCTAATGTTTGATGAAGGGTCAAGATTGTCTCCTCCTCTTCTGTGCTGAACGTTCCTCTCTTTAATCCTGGCCTTAAATAATTAATCCACCTTAATCTGCAGCTCTTTCCATTCCTTTTTAATCCTGCAAGCAATAAAATGAATGGATGAACAAAAAAGTCAACTGCAGTGGTACTTTTTAGCACTTCTATTGGTGTTGACTTGTAGCAGCTATCCTACCAGTTCTCAAAAACTATTGAAAGTAATGTGCCAGAGATAACGAACTCGTATGAGATGTACTGTTTCCATTCGTAGAAGACTTCTTCAGCTTTGATTTTATTAAGTTATTTGTCTGGACCAATGTGTATCCAAAGTCATGAACACGATTATAAAGATGTTCTCGTCGTAAAAGACATTTAGGATAACTAAAGGTTATGATCATGGGATCATACTGTCTTATACTGATATTCATATATCTATACATATGCTCGTAAAAACTAGATGATGATGGTGATGATAAGTATTTGACAGAATAGATAGCAAAAGATTTCCATAAAAATGCAAATTTTGTAAGAATAGCACGAAAGTACTGTGTTAAAGTTTGTCAACGCCAATCATATGTTGTATGCGGTTACATATTCGTATAGCTAGACAGCATTGGCTATGTTTATCGCGAAATGTCAAATACAGGTGCTCTTGAAGATGAATTCATCCTGTTTGCAATGTGATTACACATTTTTTTCTCGAACATGCATTGTGCCAACATAGGGCAGACGACAAGATTAAGTGATTAACTTACCAGTATTAATGGGAACAGAGTTCCAGCAGCCATGGCCTTGTTTCAGGATGTAGTCTCTCAGCTTCTGATCTTCATCTGGTGACCACAATCCCTTCTTGTGTTTGTTTTTAGGCTTATCAAATGATTTGCACTCCATTTTTGAACAAATTGAGTATATGATGGTGCTTCTTGTGTGTATGTATATAAGGAGAAATGAGACTCAGATGTGAGGCTAGCCAGCCCGGTTTCAAGAATTTAAAGAAGGGAAAGGTTGAACGTGTTTTGATTTAAGAAACGAAACCGTCATTATCAAACTCTTTCTAGCATAAAGAATTGAAGGAACAAAAAGAAATAGTATAGAAACTGTACCTTTTTATCATTTAATACTTCTAATGTTTATTGATTTTTTGGAGTTGGGACTAGCTGTCCCCTTCCAGGAATTTTTACGAGTTAAGATTGACTAAAGTAAGAGTCTATTTGTATAGAATCTTTGTATTGTGTCATTAAGCAAGCCTAAACCTACTTGACAGGCACCACTGACTGTGCCTGCCCTGTTGCAAGGACATGATGACCATTTGCTTTAACAATTTCTACGTGCTAGTAAATAGTTCCATCTCTGTCGGCTCCATAAGGTCGACTAGATAACACCAAACAGTATAAAGAACGAAGAAATTGAAAGTATTCATTACTGTGTACTATGCATGTCCTTGATAACACCAAACACCATCCAGATTTTAATAGTTT